ATATTTTATATTGAAATTGAAATTATTAAATATCAAATATATATTAAAGAAATATTAATAATATTTTGATTTTTTAAAAAAAATTAATTTTATAATTAATTAATTAATTATATCTTTTATAATAATTAATAAATAATAAATTAATAATAAAGAAAAATAAAGAATTATTTAAACTAAAATATATTAATATATATCATATATAATATATTAAAAATATTCAAAAAATCGTTTTTATTTTATATATTTATTTATAATAAAAATAATAAAAAAATAAATTAATAAAGAATTTATTATATTAAAAATTTAATTATTTTATATCTCTATTTAATTTATAAAATATAAATATTAAAATTAATAAAATTATTTATATATTTTTTTTCAAAATTCTTTCTTTTTGTAATAATTTCAATCTCAAATTAAAATAATTCAAGCTTTTGTTTTTTCTTATCAAATTTATTACTAAAATTAACTATATCTTTTTTACTAATAATATTATATTTATTATTAAGATTATTATTATTATTTATATTAAATATAACCCTTTTCTTTTTATTCTTCAAAATAATATAAATAGATTAAAATTTAATCTTAAGATTTATAATAAGAATTCTTTATATTAATCTTTATATATTTAATTACAAAAATTAAGGAATAAAAAGAAATCTTTATTTTTTAATTAAAAAAGGAAATAATAATTTTTTTATTAAAAAAAGAATATATAAATAATTATAATAATTGATATCAAAAAAAGAAAAAAAATATTTATATTAATAATAAAAGAAATTAAAATCAAAAAATTCATTATTTTTTATTATTATTATAATATAATTAATATTATAATAAATAGATTTCTTATTGAAATAAGTTTTTAAATTAATATTAATAAATTATAATAAATAAAAAGCTTATTAATATAAAAATATTCATTTACTAGATTATATAACAAAATCAGATCCTAAAGGTTTATTAATCAAATAATTAAAAATCTTCAAAAAAATTGAAAAGAATATATATAAATATATAATATATTTTTAATATTATAAAAAAAAGGTTATTTTTATTTGAATATTTATTAAATTTTTATGAATAATCAATAAGAGAACAATATGACCTTTATATATAATATTATATTCTAAGTATTCTTATTTCTTGATTATATTTAGTAATTTTATATATATATTTATATTATATATTATAATTAAATATTTATTTTAATAATTGATTTAGAAATAGATATAGAGTAATTAAAAAAAAAGAAAATAAAATTAATAAAAACTATTTTAATTATTATATAAAAAATCAGAAAGATTATTATTAATAAATTATATATTATAATTTATAAAAATAATTATTATATATCTTTTTTATGTATTAAATTAATAAGATTTAATATATTTAATATATTTAACTTTTGTTAATAAATTATTATTATTTTTATAATATATCAAAAGATAATTTCTATTTAGAAATCTATTTCTTAAAATAAAATAATCGAATTCGAATAAAAGAATATAATTATTTAGATTATATTAAAACTAATATATATAATATATATTACTTTAAAATAATTTCAGAATAATTTATTAATAATAGTTTTAAAAAATCTAAATTATAAAAGAATCTGATAATATTATTTATATATATTAATTAAAAATATAAAAATATTTAATATATAATAAAAACTATATAGTAAAGAAAAGAATTATTTTTTTTAAAACACCTTTTACAAATAAAAAAAGATATATACAGAATGAATAAAATAAATCATTATAAATTTTAAGAAAAGAAAATTAAATCCTTGTTTTATTTCAACATCCAATTTTATTTTTTATAAATAAAAGATTTTTAGATCTACTATCAAATTCTTATAATTTTCATTATTATATAAAAGATTATAAATATATTTTATGATTTAAATTAACAGAATTATTATGTATTAAGAATTAGAGGATATATAATTGTATATATAAGAAAGTATATTAATCTTTACTTTCGAGGTATATTTATTTTACAATATTTCAGTGCCTTAGAACAATTTTCTTTTTTCTTTTTATAAAACTTTATATATTTTTATATAGTTGATATTTCTTTATTTAAATATATATTTATTACATAAATAAAAATATAAAAGTATTTAGAGAAAGATTTACTATATTTAGAATATATATTACCTACTAATTTTCCTTTATTTATTATATAAATTATTTAATATAATTATTATAATACTAATTAATTTAGAGAATATATTATAGAATTTATTATTTTATATAATAATATATAATTAAATATAATACTTCTATAAAATATTTATTTCTATAATTATTATATAATCTTCTATTTATTTTATATATAAACCTTAATATCTAATTAAATAATTTCATTATTTGATTAAGATATATAAGGTAGGTATAATCCTTATAATTATATTATAAATTAATCTAATTTATTATCATTATATATACCTATTATATAATTAGAGTGACCAATCGACATAGCTATCCCTCCGTGATAGCTATTTTTTAACAAAATTATCTTTTGATTATTGGTTATATTGGGGATAATGATTACCATAGAATTAGCAGGGTAACAATATCTTAAATAATATATAAACATAAATTTAAATATTATTACTAACTAATTAATAATGGGATTATAATATTAAAGCTATAAAAGATTAAAGATTATAAAATCTATAATTAATAAAATAATGATATAAAATAAACCAATTTCTCTATAATTATTAATTTGTATATTTAAAAATATATGCTAAAAAAAGATATTAGAAGGTTTTCTATTAATTAGAAATAAATAATAAATATAAGGAAAAGGATATATAAATATATAAAATTTGAAAACGATTTTCCTATTAATAAAGCCATAGCCTATAGCTCTATTATCTATAAAACTAATAAATAGAATAATTATATTAAATATAAAAAAGATTTTTGTTAAGATTTTAAAAGATTTATTATTTATTAATCTAAAATATAAAGAATCTCTAAATATAATTAATTTTTTAATTTACAAAAATAAATTTCTTATAAAAAACTTTGATTTATAATTATAAATCAAAATTAATTTTTTAATATATTTAATTAAAGAATTAAATTTTTATTTTTTTCTAAATAAATAAATCCTTTAATATATTCTTTTAGATCAATCTTTTAAATAAAATTAAAGGGAATTAAAGAGATATAATATAATAATATAACTAAAAAGTAATTAATAGATAGAAATGAATTCTAGTATAAAAGAGTAGCAATATTATAATAGAATCTAGGGTTTTGATATTAATTGATTATTAGAAAATGATTAATATAAGGAAGATATCTTATATTAATATTAATATTAATATTAATATTAATATTAATATTATATTTTACATTATTAACTCTTTTTTCCTTATAATTACTTTTAAAATAACTAGGTTTCTTATAATAAAAATAGAGATTGAAATTAATATATTATTCTTGAATATAATAAAATAAAGAATATTAATTTTATTAAATAATATTTAATTATATAGAATTACTAAAAAGATTAGATATAAAAGAAAATACAATATATCTGCTTTTTATTATAAGATTTTAATTATTTATAATTAAAATTAATACCTTAATTCTTTTATTAATTATCAAAATAAATCTTTTCTTCTAAATTATTATAAATACTTTATCACTAAATTATCCATAAATCAATATTAATAACAAAAGATTTATTAAAATAATTAATTAAAGTATTAATTAATTTTTATAAAACCTTGAACTTGAAATTAGTAATTTATTATTTAACAATTTTTCTATATTTAATAACAAGTTATTTGAATACAATAATAAAATTATCAAATAAAATCTTCTTAATCTTATATTTATTATAATTTATAAAATTTTACATAAAAATCAAAGATTTGATATTACTTATTCAATTTATATCAAATACTTATTACAATATATCATTTAAAAAACTAGAAATTGAAATTATATAGGTTATTAATAATTATATTGAAATATATCTAATTGTTTGTATAAACAAAATCAGAAAATAAATTAATAAAAAATATAATTTTTTAAAATTCCAATTTATTTTTATAATTTATAATTAAATAATAATTGATTATACTACAAAATATTATATATTAATTCTAATATTTTATAATATTTTATTTATTATTATTAAATTTTTTAAAAATAATAAAATACTTTTAGTGAAATAAAGCTTATAGATTATTGCAAATAACAATTTTTAATATTTTAATTATATTCTTTAACTCAATAATCTTTAAATAAGTATTAGTGATTTAGATCTGTATTATAATAGTTTAAACTTATAATAAACTTGTAATTGATTTAATCAATTTAAATATAATTTGAATAATTATAAAGTGTATAATATTTAAATCATTAAACAAATCTATAAATAAAGAAATATCAGTTTTAACAAAATTGAGAATATAATTCAAAAAAAGAAACTATAAGAATAGATTAAATATAAATATTTAATTAATTATTTTTGGGATATTCCTATAATTAGAAAATAATCTTGTAGAATTCCTAAACAATAATAATTTAGATATACAATAAATCAATAATAAATATAATCAATATAATTAAATTATGATTTCGATAGGAATTTAATTAAAATAAAGCTATAATAACTTTTATAAAGATAATACAAACTATTAGGGTATGGATAAAGATTTATATTATATTATAAAGGTAAAAGAACTATGGAAAAGTGAGGCCCTATTTATAAGAGGTAGGGTATACTAGTGATCTATGCCTAAAGCACAAAGGCAACTACAGAATATGTAGTTGGCGCCGTGACATTTAAAAACGTGCACGATATAGGGACGTGCACAATGTAGGGATATCAGTTATATAAGCCCGTGCGTGCCCCTTCGAACTTTGGATCTTGAATTTTTGACAAAAACTTCCCAAACCGCAATCAGATCATATTCTTCATATTGAAAACTACCACACGCCCCTTTTATAATTAACGATATGGAGGATGATTGTGCACAAGTCGATCTGGGGTTAGCTGTCGATGTGGAAAATAATCTCGAAGAGCCGGTGGCTCAACGCCAACCCAAGAAACGTTTCGTGGGAAGAAAGCAAGCTGCAGAAGCTGCTGCACGCAATGGCAGTAATACAACTCCTGGGGACAGTGATGCCATTCAAGGTCTGTAACCTTTCATTCTCAGATTTACTTCTCTAGCTAATGTTATCATAGTTGCGACTCCTAGAAGAATTCGAACATTAAATCAAGTTCCTCCCGAGATTTTGAATGATCCCGATATCAATGCTGCCATCGCTCTCCTTCCACCAAACTATTCTTTCGAAATCCACAAAACTATACATAGAATTAGGATGAACGGATCAAAGAAAGTTGCGCTGCAGATGCCAGAAGGTCTACTCTTATTCGCAACCACAATTTCGGATATTCTCACACAATTCTGTCCTGGAATCGAGACGCTTATAATGGGAGATGTCACATATGGAGCTTGTTGCATTGATGATTATACCGCTCGAGCTTTAGGGTGTGACCTGCTGGTACATTACGCGCATTCGTGCTTGATCCCCGTGGATGTTACAAAGATCAAAACTCTCTACGTTTTCGTCGATATCAGCATAGATACGGCACATTTACTTGCAACTCTGGAGAAGAATTTTGCTTCAGGGAAGACCATTGCCATGGTAGGAACCATTCAATTCAATGCGACATTACATGGAGTTCGAACACCGCTCGAAAAAGCTGGTTTCAATGTTCTCATTCCGCAAATATCCCCTCTTAGCAAAGGCGAAATCCTTGGATGCACATCGCCTCAACTGTCAACTGATGGAGTCGATATTATTCTTTACCTTGGTGATGGACGTTTCCACCTTGAGAGTGCAATGATCCACAATCCGACGATACCAGCCTACCGATACGATCCCTATTCTCGAAAACTCACTCGTGAGAGTTATGACCACAAGGAAATGCATACCCTGAGAAGAGATGCGATTGAAACCGCCAAACCCGCAAAGAAGTGGGGACTCATCTTAGGATCTCTTGGTCGTCAGGGAAATCCACACACCATGACAATGATTGAGAGAAAACTAGAAGAGCGAGGAATCCCATACATCAACTTACTTTTGAGCGAGATCTTCCCAGGAAAACTAGCTATGATGAGCGATGTCGAGTGTTGGGTGCAAGTAGCATGTCCAAGACTCAGTATTGATTGGGGATATGCTTTCCCTAGGCCTCTGCTTACGCCATACGAAGCTTTGATTGTATTGGGCCAAAAAGAAGATTGGGCAAAGAGCAACAATGATGTCTATCCTATGGATTACTATGGAAAGGAAGGTCTTGGCAGAACCAAGCCTATCTCAAGTATTCCAGTTGTTGGTTGAAAATCTATTTTTGATACACCTCAAAGCCTTGCCCTCCTCCTTACTGCACGACGTTATACAATTGGTCAAATTGTCCTCAATTGGTATTATGATAGCGCCCGGTAAATTAGATTCCACACATCTACCGATGTACCTCCAACGACACTCTGGTGCCGCGTCAGATCAGCCAGGCATGAATCGGCAAATCAAAACTATCGCGATGGTTTGAGCTACCACAACTGGTATATAGATAAGAATCCGAGGGCTCCACTACGAGAGGTATTTCGCGACCAGATTTCTCCGAGAGTGGTTCAAAGAAGCTGGGTTCGAAGCAGTAGCCCCGCGCTTCAGAACTCTAGTTACTTCGGCAAACATCTCATTTTAATACCTCCAAGGTGGATGAGATTAATCTATAAAAACAAACAAATTGTTCCCAGACTTATTACTTCTGATGAGACACCAATTTCATCCGCAAGAACAGTACCCGCACTACTGAATATACTGCTATCCGATGACACTGTTACATCTGGCAATGAAAAATAGAATAGTCAGGTAAAATTTTCGAGTCGTTGCCCAATTTTGTGGGTTTCCGGGGTCGCCTGGTGAACTTCATAATCCGATGTTTTGATCGATGACTGGTTCATTGGAGTGCACCTGAGACTGAGACTCAAGCTTGGTGCTATTGGCTTTAAGAGTGGCTACTGGTGTTGAATTTTCGAGATCGGCATCTCGTGCGCTCGCGGAGTAGGCCGAGGATATGTTTGGACGCAGATGTATGGGAAGGCGAAATAGCATACAGCTAGCTATCAAGATAAAGAAGCGTTATGCCACATGATATATATCTTGAAAATTATCAACTTGCGGCCTTCCAGTCAACATAAATTGACCTCTTGAAAAATGCGCTTTCAATTATGACGGGAGTACAAAATTTTGATGCAAAAATTTAATCTCTTCAGATGGTTCTTCTTTACTTTTCTCATTTTTTGATCAAGCATTTATGATCTTCACAAGTGATACTCATCCTTCGCAACATTCGTGATGTTTGTAGAGAGTCTTCTACGTCGGCTGCCGAATGTTGAATAGGGGTCGGGCCCGCTTTCATTTAGATAGGTGACTGATTGGGATGATGATATGATATGTCATTGGACGTGGAAAATAACTAGTTTGCAGACTTGAATATTATGCTGACCTTCGTATTTGGAGATTGGTGACGTGGTTACGGTTATACTTAGATTCAGAAATTGATTGGGATAGTCAGATAGATTACGATATCAGAGGTGGTATGGGAAGGGATTCTAAGGGATTTTGAGTCGAGTATTTTCGTTCGCTTGGGCTCTGATAGATAGAGATTGCTTGATAGATGGATTTGAGAGATGAGTTTAAAAATGCACAAAGTCAGAAGACGCAGTTCAAAGTGAAAAGCTTGATTTGTCAAGTGCTTTAGTACGTGAACAAATGATAAGTAACGCTAGACCTCGCTTTAAACGCTATTATGGCATTTCAGAATCCTCCTACCTGAACTAGTGACCATCAAATCCAAGCTTCTTCCCAGACATAAACACATCTCCAGTATTTCTCTTTTCACTCAGCAGAGTGAATTAAGTGCCCTTGAAAATCTTTCCTTACTCAGAAGTGCGGCCAGATGCCGGGATAGGTAAAGGCTCGAAAACGCAGAAGATCTCATCTCGAAATCCTCTCTTAGCTAGAAATCTCCAAAGATCTTTCAATTCAGCCGGATTGTCAACAGAGAGTCTTTTCTCGGATAGGAGCATCAAGTCCAACGAGATGTTGTTCCAGCATCGAGATGCCGTTTGGTAGGCGTATTTGTCGGGGGTTTCTCCTGCCCAGTGGATGAAGATAGATACATCTCCCTCTATGCAAGAAAACTTCTCAGACGAAGATTGGATATTGATGGTCTGAATGAGCGTATGAGAAAATGTTGAGAAGTCTGGTAGTGAGACGATTCCGAGAGTCGTATTGCAAAGAAAAGGAAGTGAGTCATCTGAGATGTTCATGGCACGAATTTGGAGACCAGGAGTTATTGACGGTTGAGCGCTTGATGAGGATTGATCAGACATTCCTGGAAGAAGTTATTAGTTCTGTGAAGTATGGTTCAAAAGAGCTATAACTCACTGTCTCGGACTCTGAGGGGCTGATAAATGTCGCTTCAGAAGAATTTGATTGCTTTGAATGAGGGGTCCATGACCAGAAAATAGAAGAATTGGATAGTTATGATATAATGCTGGAAAAGTATTCAGGACGCTAAGCTCAACAAGTGTACAGCCACAAGCATTCACTGATACAGTCAGATTGAGTTTTCTTGACTCCGAACATAAACGTACCCGATCCTACTGCTGAATGTTCTAAAACAATATGGAAAATTTGATTCAATGTGTCAAGTGGAGTTTGAGTCGAGGGAGGTTTTGTCAGTAGGATTATTTCCGAGTCAAACATGATAAATGGTGCCTGTACAGTAAAGAGACCCGGCTGCCTTTCTGATCTATTGCTTTAGAATGATGTATGCGCCAAAGCTCTTGGAGAGTCTTGACATTGGATCACTTAATGTGGTCCATGGTCATTGGGGTGTTTTCTGAGATTAGTGGCCTACTAAGAGAGCAATGTATCGCATCGCGATAATTCCTTTCAGCCAGCAATTCGAGTAGAAACTCGAAATTTACCCTGTACCGTGGACCTTTCTCAATATTGTACAATTTCATTGTTTTTACCCCAATATCATTCCATCTCTTGCATTTCAACCATTCCGACCATTTCGACCATCCGTCGCATTCCCATGGGACATCTCCATCCCAAACAACAAACACTTCGACGATCTCGGGGCTCGCTCCCAAAAGAGATAGAAATTGAAGGTCGATAATTCGCTGGAGATTGCGCAGCATCTGCCACCAATCTTGAGGAGTGTCTATATCGAGAAGACTATCGCAAGAGATTGGGGATCCACGTCCTCTTCCGTTATTGTAGCCCCCCTTGTCGACCGAAGCATCGAGCCAGACTTGTACTTTTAATCCACGATCAACGAATAATGCAGATTGAGGCTTAGGTGAAGGAGACTTGGATGACGGAGATTCGGGTGAAATGAACTCGAGTAAAGAAGGCTCGGGTGAAAGAGGCTCGGATGAAGCAAACTCAGACAAAAAAGACTCGGGTAAAATGAGCTTAGATGAAGGAGAGTTAAACTTTGGTGGAGGACTCTCTGGTGAAAGAGACTCAGATGAAGGAGATTCGGATGAGGGAGACTCGGGTGAAGCAGATTCTGGTAAAGTAAGAAGCATATTTGTGTTTCTCGAGAGTACAATTAAGTAAAATATAAATGACGCGATATCCAAAATAAAATACTGTTATAAATTCTTGATTATTGAACAAAAAACATTACATCGATGGAGGTTTGAAGTAGGGGCTCACAAAAATCCATAGTTTTCTAAATATTGCATCGAAGCTTCCCATTTCGGATGGTAGCTTGTGCTGTTGAGATCCTAGCTCTATAAAGGAAGTTCTATAGTCATTGAAGGAAGAAATTAGGTGCGGCCTGACTCCCTCGCTATAAGCCTTAAGATTTCTGCTCTTGCATACTAATATTTTGCGTCTTTGTGCCGGTGAATGTTTTGGTTTTATCTTTCGTTCTTCAAAGTGTTTTGAATGATCCCGATTTGAAATAAATACCTTGCTTGCAGACGCAGTCAACTTTGTCGGTATTTTTCCTTCAGTTTGGGCATCAGTCTATGTCCCGAAAAATAAAATAGCTTCGATAGTTGACATACACGATCTTTGGTGTTGGAACAAGAGCCATACTTCAAAAGAGTTATGAAGGGATCACAATAACGAGCGGCACCTTGGAAATATGATGATCGCCAAAATTGGCTCAAAAGATGACCATAAGGTTTCCAATCTCCCAGGACTATCTCGTCTTTCTTTATGATGATAGGGAATTTGGAATTGCATTATGCAATCTGGGCCATTCGAAGAGATAAATCATTCAACTCTCCATTCTTCCTGAGTTTCGAATCAAAGATAGTCTTTTCTGAGTTGTAGCTCCTGGTCCCAAGTGGTTTTTTCTGTTAGGGAATGAACTCTTTGCCACTCACTTCCTCTGGAAAAGATACAGATCAGTAGTTACAATGCGAGAGATTCTGTGACCAAATAAGCCGACAGGCTTTTTTGTGGTGCTTTCTACGAATCGAGCATTGCAGTATTTTCAGCCTGCCCAGAATGTTGTCCTGGTCGAATGGCTAGCTTAAAATTGCCCTTGTTCATCATTGACATGATATCTAGGAATTGTAAGATACAGATCTGGATTCTCCGTATCAATACTAAGTAGGTCATCAACGGACCAATCATGCTTTACTGGCCAGGTGAGTTGGGATTGTGATTGGAATTCTTGATATGAGCCCCTTGAATCGACTGGCTGTTCCCATGAAATCGACGATGGCGGAAATGCTTGCTTGATCGCCAGCACAATTTCACCACAGACAGCTACAGATTCGTACACTCGTGCACATGCCGAAGAAATGTAACTCGGATGACGTTGACGAGTTATTCCTTCAATCGTCATAACTATAAGTTCTTGGTCTCTCGAGTGACTTAGCTGAGGGTTTTCAACAATGTTTGAGAATAGCTCGAAGAACGATATGAGTGGGTCCAAATGAAGCACATTCGAGAGAGCCATATTGCCACGGATTGATTGTTGTGCCTTTAGCTCTCCTATTATTTCTAGGGTTGTCCTGGAGTCTTCCAGAAGTCGTGATTTGTGTTCAATTAAATTACTACGAAGCAGTATTAAGACACGATTTGTATGGAACATATGCCTCAATTCAAGTTCGACTGAGGGGAAGCTTTCTCTCAAAATGGCTGCTCGCGCATGGAAGTCTGGCCACTCTTGGTCCAATTGAACTAACAATCTCATAGCAGTAGTTTGCCCCGAAGAGTATGGTTGAATTTCAGCATAATTCATATAAAGTTCCCTGTAGATTTCTTCGAGAAAGCAAGCCATTTTAATTTTGGCCAAGAAGGCTATCTCCAATGGACTTGGCTGATCAAACTCCGGCAATGGGACACTACATTCAAACAGGTATGATTGACAACCTTGGCTACACCTGAAGAGCCTTAATTTGTCTATGATATACATCGACCAGAAAAAATTAGTTCGCTCTGGACTTACGAATTGGCCGGGCTGATGGAGACCAATGGACCTCGCCATTTGGTGAGCCAATGCTATGTGCTTCGCAGCTACTTGATGATCATAGAACTCTCTTGTAACAAAACTCTGGGGACTGTTAGATTCGGTCTTGCCCATATAAGTGGGAAATATAGATGAGATCAAGGCTTAAGTCCAGACCATGCATTTTCACAGGAATGAGGGTCGAATTTGTACCATATCGGGAATGTTTCTGGATAATTAAAATCACTTACCAATGTAAAAAGAGCTTGGATGCTGGCTATCCGCGGCTTGAGAAGAGTGTCTAAGATCGAGAAAGATCTTTTGGCATTGTTCAAGAGCATGAACATGAGGTTCTCATCTTTTGAGGGGGCTCCAGGAGGAGATGTCTTCAATTTTGCCAACAAAGAGAGTAGAATTATATTATTGAAGCAAAGAGTCCATGTAGGGTCTGTATTCTCACAGCCTATACTATACTGCTCATCTATAGCTTTCAGTAGCGTACCTCTGTCAAAGATTGGTAATGGATCATTGGTTTCTTTCAAGTAAAACTCTAGTGTAACTTCCAAAAGGGCTCTTGATGGCAAAGCTATAGGCTTGCCATCGCTTTCAAGCTCCGACGCCGGCGGCATTGGCAGCGTTTTGGGAAGGTCCGTCAATATCTGCAGCGTGGATGACACCTTTGGGTCGCTCGCAATTAATATGTCAATGAGGGATAAATTGCCATAATCTTTGGAGTTGGCTTTCTTTTCGAACCGTACTTTTGTGCAATCAAAAGAAGCGTAAGCGGAACTCTGTCCATAGAATCTTTCGTCGCCAGCAGCATCCATGAAACGATGTGAAGATCGGCCATATCTTGGCTGCAGACCTGATCGATTTTTTCCAAATGGATCATCAGAAATAGAAGTATGAATAGAAAAATCGATAACTTCGTGATATGGAGAAGCAGTGGGGGTAGACGATGCGATTGATGAATGGGTGCTATTCAAATGTTGTGCAATTTGAGAAACAGCACTCTCGATACTAGCTAGCCTAGTATTCAAACCATCAAAATCTTCAACACTGTGTAGGTCAGTCTATATTCTAACTTGAGTTCCGAAGGAGGTGGACTTACAGCTTTTTGGTAACATTAGGTCTCTTCTCCCTAGATGAAAATTCACATTGGCGATGAGACTTGGCACAATTTGAACATTCCGGGAGTAAACGATCACATCGTATCTTGCGCTTTTTGCATTGATCACACACTTGGTCACTTATTTGAGAGTTCTTCGTGCGCAACTGATCCTCCATCTTGATCTGCTAGCCACGGTCGTTTGTATATCAAAGAGAGGCTCTCCGTGTTAAATACGCGACGAAGAGTGTACTGGTATCGAGTGATAATATCTCTCTTTTCAATTTGGCTATGTCTAAGGAATTTAAAAATAAGGACCTGTGAGAATGATGTTATACTCAGATCCTGTGAATACCAGACATGAATTCAATATCAACTTGCACTTGATGTAGAATTAATAATAAGGCTACACGAGTAAGCTTTGTCATCATTTCATCATTAACTAATAAAGGCCATTCATAAAACGTGACCAGGCGACAATCTCGATTCCCGTGAGCAACGTCGCGTCTGCGACCACCCCGCTCTGTTAGCAGGAAGCTGTAGTAGATGCACTAAGCACTCTTACTGTTACCATCGAGCAACTCAAGCATCCGCCAAATATGCCTTCACTCCGCCGCAGCAAGCCCCAAAAGTGTCCCCTCCTCGCCATACCTCGTGAAATTCGTGACGAGATCCATCGATATGTTCAATTAGGACAGCGAATTGACAAGCCAAGAGTATCGAGCTCTGGCTATCTCAAGCCAGACGACAATGCAATTTGGCCCAACGCTTATCAACTCCTCGAAGAAACCGGTTATCGAGAAGAAAAAGATCCCAGGGCGGTGTTCCGGCCAGATGCCGAAGACATACTTATACTGGCGCGAACATGCGAACAGCTTTACAAAGAATCAAACCAAATCTTCTACGGTGAGAATACGTTCTCGTTTGCGGGCACTTGGAGTTTGTATTGTTATCTGTACATGATCGGCGAGGAAAAGCGACTGTGCATTCGCCATATTTATTTCCAATTCAGTGGGATTCAGAGGGTGGATGCATTCACGTTACTTGGCGAGTGTAAATCGTTGAGGACTCTCAGGATAGGCGTTGGACAGGGTACGATGTCTGGTAGTAAACAACCGAAGTTGAATTTAATGACAGCCAGAGGTCTTTCTACATTGAGAAAAATAAGAGGGATGGAAAACTTGGTGGTAGATGTGGTAGAAATGGACCAACCATCCAGATCTACTTACAGTTTCCCCTACACAGAATCGCTGGACGTACCTTCAGAGAGTCCATATTTCAATCCGGAAAAGATTCAAGAATTTGCAAGGGTATTGACAGAGGAGATGAATTGGAAAAGGGAGACGCCGGAGCAAAATAAAATCCAGGATGTACCATTGAAAGAGGAAGAAATTTTGCAGTCGAAGCCAAAGTCCAAAAATTCCAAACCAGCAGTAGTTTCCAACACTCGAACTCTACGCTCAGGTAAAATCCAAAAGTTGACATCCACACCTAAGAGAAAGGTCGCGAAAAAAGCAAAGACAAGTGGAAAAGGGAATCAAACTTACCCAGTTGGCTTCTCAGGAATGGAATGGTTAGTCGTGGGTGGTGGGACATAGAAATCACAAAGAACCAGCCATTTATGACTCGGTCAACTTGCGACATAGATTCTGTCATTGCTCTTTTGTCTAAATTTATGTGTTCCGCGGCACTGCTTTATCGAAGCCCCTCGTCGACTGTTATTCCAGAATAAGATGGACACCAACCTCATCCATCCTACGATTTTACGATCCCAACGATTTTACGATCTCTTCAACCAGGGATCTTTCCCTCCCTCTTTCAACATTCTATGTCCAATCAGTGCGCAAGAAAAATCCTCTCAACCCCATCCCAACCGCTCTCGGAGACGAAAAATAGCGTCGAACAACGTATAAGTATTCGTCCGTACTATTTAATATTGGGGCCCTACAACCCTCAAAGAACGATCTCATGATAGGGATAGCCTTGAGATAAGAAGATGTAAAGGTAATGATAATCATTAATAAATATCAAACCAAATACCATTCCAATTCCACTCCTTAGTGAAGTCTACTTGATCTCAACGTATATGATGACATTGAAGTGCTAAATACTCTTATGCTATATGATCTCTTCTCGCTCATCAACAGAGCTGTTGTATCTCTGAAATGGAATGCGATTAGACGACATGACACACATAACTATGATAGAAGCCTTCGCGTAAGATTGTTGAAACTGCAGTCTCATAGATAGTCATCAGAAGAAGAATCGATTGAGGTCAAAACACCTCTTTCACTAAAGAGCCTCATCTCGTACACATGATACTACAAACAAATATGTTTCCCCACTGATAGACAAATCCCATCCTAACAGTATCATCTCATCTCATTCACCATATATCGCTTTGATATTCTCAAAATTCAGATTTCCTACGTAAAAAGCATGTTGCAAAAGATCCCCAACGCCACAAAAGGGATATATCTATGCCCAATCCATTTTCCCATCATCATGCATGCAATGCGGAAAGTGAAGTTATATTTTCTAATAGACTAATCGACTAATAATCATCACCGCGACTGATAACCTCTTTGCAGTTTGGTCTGAGGACAATTGTCTATTTCCTGTTAGCGAGTGTTTCTTTGAACAAGGAATGGAGCTTACATGTTCAAATTGCGCGGTGTAGGAGCCCTTTTTATCGACAAGAGGTGGGTAATCTTGTACGATACCATGGGAGACTAATGCGTTCAACTGCTTTTGTTAGATATTGTGCTAGAAGTGTGGGTGAATACAAACTTACTCCCAGTAGATATTTATCTTGGCCTAAACGATCCAAATATCTTCTGCAGAAAGGTAAGGTGCCAAAGTTCTTGTTGATAACATTAAGAAGTTTACCAGCCGATGCGATACGTAATGGGACGTTGGGGGCATCTGCAACCTTGGCGTAATGAGAACATTCGAGCTATAACTGATTAATATATGTTACCAGGGAGTTCTCATACATGGACTTACATCATCTCTAACATAACCATTTCCGGTACTTCCGAAAGTTTCAATAGCAAAAACCTCCCCTTCTTCCATCTTTGTTTGGTCATTGCTCTTAACAATCGGGACACTCTTTCCACCATGGATCTTCCATTGTAGAATGTCATGACCATTCAGGTTTCTAATCGGCTTGACTTGATAAGTTTGACCCTTAATCTCAACCTCGTAACTCTCCATTGTCTCCTGAATATGCTCGCCAATTTCTCCCAATCTTGCATCAATTCCGGCTTCCTTGATTCCGGTATTTGTAGCTTGCTTAACCGCCTCGAGAAGATTATCGTACATGGGATCAAATGCAATAGTGAAAGCACTGTCCACAATTCTACCGTTGATGTGAACTCCGAAATCGACTTTCATGACATTCTCATAAGCCAAAACGGTCTTGTTTCCAGCGTTCGGACTGTAATGAGCAGCAATGTGATCCAGATTGACACCAGTTGGGAAAGCGACACCACCCTTAATATTGTCTCCCTCCTCTAGTCCAGGGTGACCAGTCAAAGCTCTCACACTATCCTCGATTCCTTCCGCGATTTCCGTCAAGGTCTGCCCGGGCTTAATGTTGGCTTTAGCGTATTGTCTAACCTGTCTATGAATCTCGGCACCCTGTCGATACTCCTGCAAGAAGTCATTATTCATGCGATCCAAATAACGCTTCTCTTCGCTTGTAGTTCGATAGTTATTTTCGTCTCTGTATTCGACTTCCTCTCCAACAGGGTACTCGCCGCTTGGAAACAGGTTCGACAGGAGAACTCGGGGAGGCGACGATTGGACTTTAGGGTTCGCTCCAGCCTTCTTTTTGGGCTTCTTCTTTCTCTTTCTCTTCTTTTTTGCTCCTCCTTCCCCAGCACCTTCGCCATTTACTGGCTCCTCTTCATCGTCATCTGAATCTTCGGCCTCGGCTTCGGGTTGCGCGTTTCCATTTGCCTTTGCTTCGGCGGCAGACTCCATTACAGCATTAGGGTCCTTCACTGTAAAATTTGTTAAATCATGTTCCCCAAGACTAGAGAGTTGTAGCGCAATCCTCCCAAAGGAGGGGTTGATTTTTACTTACCCTTCAAATTCTTCAACGCATCAGTAACCTGTGCTGCCATCTTGAATCACCTTACCACAAGACCCTCGAGTCTTATTTCCAACGCTACAACGTATGTAATTGACCTTTGTATCAATAGCAAAAGTCCAGTTGTTGGAAAAATAATAATTGATTGAGAGAGAAATCTAACAATTGCTTTCCCCGCCAAGGTGGTAATGGGTTAACATCGGGATAACTGTCTCGGTTAGCAGTAATGTTTGGGTAAATCCCTGTCAATCGCTGGAAATCTATGCCGTCACTGGCATTCCAGGCTTAATACAGCATGTGTAAAGTTCTCATGGAAGTTCTCTCATCTCATCAATTCTTTTCCCTATAATTCTCCAATTCAACGATGAGGAATGCCACTCTTCTTTCGCCCCTCTCCTTTTGTCGTCCCACGAATTCGACCACAGCGGTTTTCTTTTCATAGTACTGCTATCTACAGAAACCCCGCTCAAAACCATTACGAGACTTTGCAAGTCGCTCCAGATGCTACACCAGCCGAAATCAAAAAGTACGATCGCCTCCTGTCTCATTCCCAATTGACGCCAATATACTAACGCAGTCTTCTCAAGATCTTTCTACGCTCTCAGCAAAGTCCACCATCCCGATCACAACCCCTCCGATCCCTCTGCATCAAAACGCTTCGTGAAAATCTCCGAAGCATGGGCTATTCTCGGTACTCCAGCCAAGCGACAGGCCTACGATCGAGAACACCATATACATTCTAATGCTCACGGTCACGGTCATAGTCATGGCGCGGGTCATCGTCCACCACAAGGTTCCTATTCGTCAAGTGGGCCAGCAGGTGGTAGACCGGCTAGCGGGTTGAGTAGACGACGAACCCAGTTTCGTGGGCCGCCGCCTAGTTTTTATAGGAGTGGAGGATGGGGAGAACACAGTGCGAAAAGACGGGCTGCGCAGGATAATGGTGCGCCAGGTGCGGAGGCTCCACCGAAGACAGAAATGGGTGGAGGGATGGGAACGGGTCAGATGCCATGGGGCCCGGAAGGAGATATTCCACACTTTGATAAAAGAGCTCACACACAAACACATGATAACGTGGATAGAAGGAGGCGACGCCGAATGAGTGAACATTTTATTCCGGCGGACCGAGAAAGGAGCACCTTCGCTAATTTCGTCATCCTCAGCGCAGTAATATCTATGAGCGTCGCTGTACCCTCGTATATTTATGAGAGGATGACGAGTGCAGGAAGGCCGAAAAAGATATAGTCACATAAACATTGACAACAATGTCCAAAAAAATTAGACCATAGAATTATCTATCGTTGATGCACACATTTCGATCAATTACAATGAGGAAGTCACTCCGTTGCAATGCTATAATGCGCGTGCCACAGAAAATGATATCAGAATTACACCTCTATTCTACTATCGTACGGCCAACTCCCAATTCTCGAACAATGCTGATCTATGACTCGAATGTGAAGCTTGTGCCAATCTTGTGGGTAGCTTGGTCGAGCTTTTGGGTATCGAAGGAGGCACCGAGACCAAGGGTGGCACCAGGTCGGAGAACAACGTTGTAGGCAACGGCGGCAACACCACGGTCGTTGATCTTGACCTATGATTTCCTTGCATTAGCGAAAGTTTCGGAATATTTCTGCAAAAATTGCTTACCTTGGCGAAGGAGAGTGGGTCAAGTCTGTACTTGCTAGCAACCTCGAGACCAACAGAGTTGGTGTTCTTGGAGTCCCAGGTAGCCTTGGCACCAGCCTCGACTTGAGTGTTGACCTTGTGGTAGTATGAAGCGGAGAAGACGCTCAAGTTGTCAGCAGCAGTGATGGCAGCACTGTAAGTGGGGGCAGTGTATCCGACAGCGGCGGAGTAGCTGGTGATAGCTGCCTTTTGAACATCATAACCAGCGGTGGCACCAGCCAAGAAACCATCTTGTCCGATAACAGCGTCAACGGTGGCAGTTGGACCCTTGAGGAGATCGAAGAATGCGCGTCCGTGGAAGTTTGGTTGCTTGAAGTGAAGGTTGACCTTTGCGCCCTTCTTTTGGGTGGTAGGAGCGAAAGAGCCGAGAATCTCAGCCTTGAGACCCTTGGCAATGGTATCGTTAATCTCAATCTTGGTGTCGAGAGCGTTGAGGGTGTTCCATGTTTGGGTAAGAGTCAAGCCTGTTCCGCCGGCATACTGGATTAGTAACTGTGCACAACCGGGTTGTCTAATGAGAAAGAAACCAAATGGACTATGAACGGGGAAATATTGTAGAATAAATTGATTAAAATATATACCAGTTGGCTTGTCTGTGAACTTGGCCTCTAACTGCACACAGGAAACTGTCCATCAGCGTTTGTCAAAAAATTGAATTATTTCCCATGTAATCGTACCAGACCACTGGTGGCATTGTCATGGGTGCTCTTTCCAGTCACTTTGAATGCGACATTGTTTGGAGTATTCGACTTAACCTCAAGTGCGGCAGCAGTGAGGTGGTAGAAATCTTTGTTGAGCAACTGGTTGATATTGAGGTTAGCTTCAAATATTTTTGTAAATATGCGCATCTTTAGGGATATCTTACATCGTTGGACGCCTTAGCGATATCGGTGAAAGCTGGGACAGACATGATTGAAGAATGAGATGAACTGAATTGATTGAACTTTTGGGATGGAATTCGAGAAAGTTGTACAGATACGGGAGTAAATGTGGATGAAGTTGAAGAGGACGTGGTTTTTTGTTCCCTAAAGAATTTCGAATCGTGAGGAATCAAGCGGCAGAAGTCGGACATGGAACGTGGGATTGTTATTGGTCCAAATACTCATGTGCCTCCTTCCATATGCGACCCCCTGTAAACGACATCCATTCATGGTTCCGTCTTATGCAACAAACATCTTTCACCAAATGATGAAATCTCTCACTCATTCAACAACGCAAAAGCAAAAAGGATGTTACAAGATCGATCATTTTCACGTTTTGAAGTAGTATTGGATTCGTTCAATCTTCATACACACCGCAAAAATTGACGCCAAAGGATATTGATTTATTAGTTTATATTTGCAAGCTCGAATCGTAACTTTCTACCGAAATGGAAAGCGAAGTCAGTGATACTGAGGGGTTGTGAAACAATTCGCAGTTTTTTACTAGCATTAGAAGGAGCCCGCAGTGCTCATTCATCAATACCCCAACAAAGTCATAGTATATTTAAGCCATAAAATAACATCAAACTCAAATTTCCCAGCACAGACTCAAACCGTTAATTGTGCATAAGATGGAATTTCGTGGGGATTCAACTATCTACTAGGTAGGTATCTGTCAATGGTTTCATCCTTCTATCTAACTCCACAATCTTTCCACTTTATTGGTAACCCAGATTTGGAGTCCAAAAGATGCTCGAAAATAAGTGGTTATCAATTTTGTAACCTTCCAATAGATACGACATTCTGAGAAGGAGAATCTTCACGCTACAATTACTCGTCATACTTTTCGTTGTGGATGGCAATAGCTCTTCCACTGGGGTCAGTTTGTTTAGACCAAGTTGGGGTCCATCTCATAACACTTTCTGCACAAGATGGTGGGAAGTGCTCGTCGAACATTGTTCGGTACCAGTAACTGTTACTCCTGTTAGTGTTTTGATTCTCATTGGATAGAGTAGAGAACTTACGCTTCCTTGGTATCTGGAATATCGGATCCCCATTCAGGCTTGGGGTTCTTCATCATCTCATCGGTAACGTGTAGTTCAGCGTTATCCTTGAGAGCATCGATCCATCCGTAACCAACACCGTCGCTGAATTGCTCCTTTTGTCTATAAAGAATGTGTTCTGGGAGGTATGGTTTCTGACTTGGATCATCTGATGTGTCAAAAGCCTTTCGGAGAATGTATTTCTCAAGACGATCCTTGGTGATCATCTTCTCTTGTGGGTCGATGTTCATGGAAACTTCGAGGAATTCCTTGTCGAGGAAAGGAACACGAGCTTCCAATCCCCAAGCAGAAGTCGACTTGTTGGCTCTCAAGCAGTCAGATAAATGTAAGTTTTTGATTCTGCGGACGGTCTCTTCGTGAAGAGCTGCCTTATCTGGTGCAGCGTGGAAGTATAGGTAACCTCCAAAGATCTCGTCACTACCTTCTCCACTCAATACCATCTTGACACCCATAGCCTTGATCTTTCTCGAGAGAAGGAACATGGGAGTAGATGCACGAATAGTTGTTACATCATATGTTTCCAAGTGGAAGATAACATCGGAAAGCGCGTTCAAACCATCATCAATGGTGAAAGTCATATCATGATGCTTGGTACCAAGGAACTTGGCAACTTCTTTCGCAGCCTTGGTATCAGGGGAGTTTGGTAGACCAATGGAGAAGGAGTTAAGTTGGGGAAGGTAGGTAAGAGTTGACAATTTGTTATCGTCATCAATACCAACAAGTCCTTCCCCTTGGTCCTCGTTAGCGGTTGGTGTCGCAGTTCCACTTCCGCTCTCAATTGCAGCTAGCGTAGCGGCTTTCAGGCGTAGAGACTCTCTTTGAGCGATGGCAGCCACCAAACTCGAGTCGAGACCTCCGGACAACAAAACTCCGTAAGGAACTTCAGCCATGAGACGCTTACGGACAGACATTTCAAGTGTTTCTCTCAAAAGCTTGTAATCAATTGGGGTTGATGGAACGTTCTTTGGGTCCCACCAAGATGGCTCGAAATATCTTGTTGTCTTGTCGGTTTTTGAGTCATAAACATGTCCTGGAGGGAAAGCAATGATTTTGTCGCAGACAGGGTGCAAACATTTCAGTTCAGATGCAAAGTATACGGCTCCTGGTGTCTTGCTCGACCATCCTTGATAGAAACTGGTAATCCCGATGGGATCGCGTGCAGCAATTGTGCGGTCTTGATTTTTGTCGTATAAAACAAATGAGAACATTCCGTCCAAGTGTTTTGGGGCATCGATATCATGTTCCATGTACTAACAAATTTTCAGTCATGGATCCAATTTTTTCCTTCGAATTTCTCACCAGAGGTATTATGACTTCGCAATCGGAATGTGTCTTGAAGTGATATTGGTTCTTGAGCCCCTTACGGATGACTCTGTGGTTATAAATTTCGCCATTGACTGCGAGTACGAGGGTATCGTCTGCGTTGGTGATTGGTTGCGCTCCACTCTCTAGAGTATTGTCAGTTTATGAATATCAATACAGATTTCAGCGGTGAAAACTTACCAACGCCAACGATACTCAAACGCTCATGCGCAAGAACTACAGTCAATCCATCAGCCAAAACTCCCACCAGACCCGTTCCCCTAGGCGCAACGTACTTGTGTTGTTGGAAATAACGTTTCCACCTAATTATCATCATCAGTCAGTCTCAAGTCCAAACATCCCTTTTTACCACAGGTGACTCACTCCAGTCTGGTCCACGATGACGAACTCTAGATTTCACAGTCAGCTCTCCATTTCCAGTTCCCTCCGTCGAACAGAAATACTCACTGCTTCGCCATTCGCAAGGCCGTAGGCTTAAAAGCCTTAACATCTGGGTGACTATACAATTGTCAATTCTCGAAATCCATCGCGGGGCCCCCACTATCATTAAAAAATCGCATTCCCAATGGCAAATAGAGACAATTGATACATACCAATGACAGGCAAAAATACCACACATCTTGAATTCTTGTATGTAAATCCGTTTAATGTGAAATGTAAAATAAGTTCTTCTCAAGAAAAGAAGTTCAAAAAATGGGAGAGAAGAAAGTTATGTACCCAAATAAAAACTGCCTGTGAGTAATAGTTTCAATGCTCAGTGGTTTTGGTATGTGCATGACTTACCTTGGCTCCAAAATATTACAAAATTACCTTAGCTCATGGGCCGATAGTCGGATGTGGATTGTGACAAGGATACCGAAGGTGCATTATGTGGCTTGAGCCCTTAATTTCTACCGATAGCGATTCAGTAGAACCAATAATGTTGCAGTATTGCTAATTTTGGTGTCAATTACCTTTGGGTGAGTAACAGCTAGATGTCGAGGTTCTGGAATTTTGTGATGTGTTTTTCTACAGGAAATTGCTTGGCGAGATACAGTCGGATGATTATGAGTGGTAGACTGGTAGTGTATCTGGAATGCTAGTCCATGGGCACATATGTATGAATCGATATATGGATGGACGCAAGTAGCTTTCTTCACGAGGTGACTCAAAGGACAGAGGAGAATGGTAGGTCATAACACGACAATGAAGTAATGAAGAGGTGGCATAGATTGAAAAGGCTCATTTCCTTCATCGATTTTCCCATGTCCCATTGAGTACCTAGTAGATACTATAACTCATCTAGGGTACTCAGTAAATTTCTTTGACCAACGCGCTGCATCAAAGTAAAGTATTTCCGCTGCTAGGTACGCCCGTATTGATATCCCCATATGCTGTGAAAGATTATGTGCCCAATGAACGCCAATACTTCCCGCCAAATAAACCTGTCGCCTTTACTGTCGCATTTGCATTTGCCCGTTTCCACTAAGGAGCGGGGTTGTCTTTTACGATGCGCTTGATCTTACTCTCGTACGCGGACTTGTCCTTCTTGAAGAGATTGTAGGCATCGGCTTGGGCAGGAGAATCAGGGTTGGGGGTATCGAGAAGTTCTTGGATGCCAAGGAGGATTTGCTTGATGGTGATGGCAGGCTTCCAGCCTTCTTCTTCGTTCAGAATCGAAAGACAGACTGTGCCAGAGGGGTAGACGTTAGGATGGAAGAGGGGTGGTGTAAATTTGCCTGATTTTTTGTTAGTTCCAGATCGATGCCAAATATGAGAGTAGTTTTGAAGTCGCATACACTTTGGAGGTTTGGTTGGGTATTCTATAAATTGTACATCAGCGCAAATTCATAACCACATCATGAATGATAGTTAAACAACTCACCATCTGGAAAGATAATATTCAGTTTGAAAAGACCGCCCTCCCATAATGTACCGGCCTTTCCAGGAACGCCGCAGTCCCAAATCTTCATATCAATAGTGTTCGTGGCGGGGTTGCGAACAGGCTTTGCAGAAAACCCAAATGGATGGTCCTTTCGCCATTGCTTACTGTAGATCCCATTAGACTTCGTCCCAGATTTCCAACTGTGCAAACCTTACCGTTCCTCCGTGAGACGATTAACACAGAGCGACATTTTGAAGATGAGGCTGAAGTTTGTTCAGGAAAGCGCAAATCAGACTTTGAGATGGAGAAGATTTTGTTGACCTGGCTATTGATAAATACCAAAAGCCCAAATAGTTAATGCGACTTTTTGTATTTCTACAAATGCAGAAGAATAAACTGTTATGGAAAGGTTTGGTGGTTGCTAGCTACGAGGCTCAAGATTCGTTAATTTATGAAGCGTCCAGACAAGGCAAAAGAAAGAAGTACAATTCACTAGCTCGGAGGACCCCCACTATCAACAATGCCCGACACCAGAATTGACAGCCTCGGCCTAGTCTTCTCATCTCATGATCTTCATGCCTAAATATACCTCGTACATCGCAAGACTATTTTAATTCTTAAAACCCAATATCCGAATATATAAGGTCTGAGTTGTCGTCGACCATCAGATTATCTACACAATACCGTTTCCGGCGCAAATCATACCCCGCACTTTCCATATACATACTGGCCGTATTCATTTCGGCCTGCAGAAGAATACCCACCTTTGAAGATCCCAGCAAAGGATTGATAGAGTTTCCTCTAGCATCTATCAAACATGGAGTCGAAACCTGGGGATCTCGCAGGACTGGCAGAGTCCTCGACAAAAGCCTTGGTTGGCGAATCAAGTACAGTTTCTGAAACACAGGCTGCGGATGCTACTGCGGCGTGGGAGGATGTTCCAGATCCGGACGAAGATGATTTAGATGATCTAGATGGTACATCATTTGATCTAATGCTAGATATGAAAATGAAATTCTGATGAATTCTTAGATATGCTGGATGAGTTCAACGCTGCGAAGCCAGAATCGAAAGCACCAGCACCAACCTCCACAACAGCAACTACTGGTCCTGAGAAACCACCCGTCGCAGACGATCCTCTTCTTGGCGGCGGTGAAGGACTCACTGACGATGATTTCGCGAAGCAATTACAAGCCGGCATGGCCGAACTAATGGGAGAACTCGAGACATCACCAGAAATGCAGGCACAGTTTGAAAGTATGCTGAAGGAGATGGGTGGATTGGGGGAAAATGGACCAGCACCTCCACCACCATCTGCGCCAAAACCCGGACCTTCGAACACAAAAGTCGCCCCAGGTTCAGCTAGTGAGGAAACGTTCCAGGAAACTATTAAGAAAACGATGGAAAGAATGCAAGCTTCTGGGGATCAAGCAACAGCAGCAGCAGCAGAGGACAACTCGGACGATTTGCTAGCGGAGATGATGAAGGCTATGGGAGCTGGTGGTATGGACGGGGAGGGCAGTGAAGAGGATTTCTCGAAAATGCTATTGGGTATGATGGAGCAATTAACTAATAAGGAGATATTATACGAACCGATGAAGGAATTGGATGATAAATTCCCCGCGTGGTTGGAGAAGAACTCTGCCAGTACTCCCGCAGATGATCTAAAGCGATACAAGGAACAGCAAGTTTTTGTCAGAGAAATCGTCGCGAGATTCGAGCAAAAGACTTACAAGGATGAGAATGCTTCGGATCGAGAGTATATTGTAGAAAGAATGCAAAAGGTGTGTATCAGCTGTCATATCATATCGCGGTGCGCTGCTAACTATTTACAGATGCAAGCAGCAGGCTCACCACCAGCAGATCTGGTTGGAGATATGGCTGCAGCGCAAGAAGCTTTTGGGGCTCCAGAAGAAGGTTGCCCAACACAATAAAATACCCATATCTTAGTGATAATAACTCGTGTATATTAACAAACCAGTGATACCATGACCAATAATCTCAAAATCAAACACCAAATGGTTCGGTCCATTTACCATACCAAAACACCGACCAGGCCCTAGCCTTTTGAAACACCAACGCTAACAGCAAAACCCTCCAATTTATCATAAACAATGTCGTGTCAATATGTATCGGTATGTACCATCATGTGCCACAATCAACTCATCTCCGTATCCATCATTTCATGGTCTCCTGACACATCCATGGATTGGTTATCTTGATACGAGATATACGATTCCTGTTGTATAACGTCCATAAAAATGGCATCGTAATCGCCATCGTCGCTACCAAAGTGCGTATCAGGCGAGGAACTATTGAAATGTCGCTCAACATCCATAACAGTCATATTGTGTTGGTTTGAAAGATGTTGGAAATCTCCTCGCGCCCAAGCAGCTGCTTCCTTGTCATCAATTGGACCAATTTCTTCGTCGAGTGTCGAGACATTCTCATATGCTTCATCCAGAGTTTGCCTTCTTTCGGCTTCGGTCATAGATGATAACAAAGCTTCTAATTCTTCTTCCTCGTTTCTTGCCACTTCCTTGGCCATGACCTCATCTGCAACCATTGTTAACCCAATTCCAGCAAACTCATTCATGGATAGAGTCTTAGATAGAAAAAGCATACCGAGACTTAAATTTCCAGCACCATAATCTAGTTGCATATCCTGCTCGTCAACGTCAACAGCCCAGCCCTGCGCATCTCTAGCTTGTCTTTCCGCTCGCCTTCTTTGCTCTGCAATCCAAATAGTTCTCATTATCTCATCATCACCGCCTCTCGCTTTCCATCTTTTATCCTCCGAATCTTCTCTAACTCTTCTCAAGAACAGCTTTCTTCTTGTCTCTCTTCCATCGCCTTGTCCATGCAATAACGGATTCGTCTTCGTTATTCTCTTGGAAAATGCACCATCTCTATTCGGTGAATGTTTGTTTGAATTAGAGTGGTTTTTATCAGGGCTTGAGGTTTTGGAAGCGCCAGATTCAGGTGACATCATGAAACTAGTTTGACAATCTCCAGCCTGCTGTATCCTCGTTGGTAGATTCGCGTTGCGGGGCTCCAGCGGCGACACGGGCGGAGAAGATCGTAAAGGTAATGAGGATAATGGCGATGGTACATGAGGTGTATAATGGTGTAATTGCTTGTGTGCGCTCGCAGGAGTCTGCAACATACTGAACATGATGATGGAGTGCTGTGCGGATGAAAATGGAACTTTTGATGTTCTTCCATGCCAATTGATATACTAATGAGACAAAACGCGCCTGCAGGCGGACGCGACCCGCGTAGATGGCCCGCACCGCTGATTGTCCAATTGGGGTAGCGATTGGTGTATATTACGTAAGCGGACTCGCTCTAGAATTCAGGTCTGCTTTTACGGTCACTGCAACCGCAATTCAGACCAGAGGAACGATGTTGGGACTGATGTTGGAATTTCTGCGTTTAGGCTTCGCTATTTTCCCAAAAAATGATTTCGACATCACCTGTCTTGCAACCGAAGCACATTTCAAGGCCTAATTTGTTGCATCCATCGAAACATTTGCTACATTTATCTGATATTCAACTAGCCAGATATCTTCCAGGTATTCGAAGTTAACTAGAGGCCCCTCTCTATCGACCAACGGAGAGCCTCGAACTCAGCCCTGCTGAAGAAATTTCTGCGCTCTTCTGATCAATAATATCACCCAGCTGTCTAGGCATGGTTTTCTCCAACCTACCCTTGCAAAGTGACCATAAAGATGAACCTCTGCACCCAAAGTAGAATGGAACTACTACCTGCATACCGAGCGATATTAACTTTTTGTCAAATTTCTGTCAAATGAAGACTTCCGGGCGCTTGTGGGGGGGCGAATTCCCTTGGCTTCTTAGGCGGTTGGCAGCATGTTTGCTATATCGTTGTCCTTAAGAACAGGTTTGCGTACGTAAGTTTCCAACATAGAGTCATCTTTGGGGAAAGAGCTTCAGTACTTCCCAAAATTCGCGCGCACTATACTCTTCATGCAACGTTTGCCGACGTTCTGAGCGTATTTGGCGGTGGTCTGTTGTCTGACACATGTTTGCTTTCTGGTTCATGTCAGAAATCGTGAGATTGTTGGAGACTGTCACTGCCAGTGTGTTATTGGTGTATCTTTGACATTCGCTATTTGGATGATCTGCTGGTTTCTCATCCCGAATGCGTTCAGGGCTGAGAGGATGACCTTTCGAAGTATAAAGTTGATAGACGATGGGATGGATTGCATAATGTACAGAATTGACGTCCGGTTTCGTATCTCCCAACCATACTCAGTCTCTACGATTTATTTTGTACTTGCGTAAGTGGTCTACGGGCTGTTAGTTGTTAGTGATGCCGCAAATTTACCCACGCTGTATGTATGCATGATATGCTAGAGGAATTGGCTCGATGTTTGATTTTCATGGCTACATATACTTACCTAAGTTTACTACAGACTGAAGAGAATTGGACAATCTCTATGTTCTATTGAAACCTCCATCTTCCTTAAAACAATTTTCCAAACTCAATATAATAAAGTTTACCAGTTATTCGATTTTCACAACTAATATTGATTTTCCTTCGATAATTTATACCAAGAACGAAATTCCGATTTTTCTTATCGGGTAGGGTGGGGCATTTATACATTGGTTACGGTAACCTCTCCGTCCTCTAATTGCTACCCTCTTGGTGAACATAGGTGAACGTAGCCTACAATACATACAAGCGAATCCAACCTAATGTTAATGTCAATTCATCTGTTTGGTGTCTTGTTTATCTTCATCTCTTTCGTATTCTATCATTTATATCTTCACTTCTATCACCTACATCGATAATCGATCATCGCAGTATTATATCTACATTTATTCTCGTGCAATGATTCTCTAACGTCTTCATATACTTTGTACAAAGGTCGGTGGTGACGGTTCCTCGGTATTTACTGCTTGGGGACCCCCCTCATACGGTCTACATCGAGTCGGTGGTTACGGTTCCTCAGTATCTGCCGCTTGGGGACACCCTGACGGTACGTACCAAGTCGGTGGTTGCGGTTCCTCGGTATTTGCTGCTTGGGGACACCCCGACACGGTTTACATCGAGTCGGTGGTTACGGTTCCTCAGTATCTGCCGCTTGGGGACACCCTGACGGTACGTACCAAGTCGGTGGTTACGGTTCCTCGGTATTTGCTGCTTGGGGACACCCTGGCGCGGTTTACATCGAGTCGGTGGTTACGGTTCCTCAGTATCGGCCGCTTGGAGACGCCCTGATACTTTCGGTGCCAAAGAGTCAAGGCTGCTCTCTTATTAGCCTGGGTGGGTGGGATACACACATAGTGTGGGATCATTCTTCCCAATACAATTGTTCTTTGTCATCTTCATAGCTAATCACAATCATAGCACACAATATGGCGGTACCAATCGAAATACTTGGGCTGGAGAATCTCCTTGCGGAGAGAGTGTATATAAAGTGGGTTGATGACGACGGCTGTTGGACACTAGGTTCTTGCATGCCTTGCAACAAAAAAAAAGTCGACATTATTATGAAAGTGGTCTGCAATTCTAAATCTAAACGAGATGTTCATATACAGTTCTCAATTAAGGTGGCCATCAAGATTTCTGGCAAGCGTCATTACATGTATATGTTGTTAGCTGTTCCACCACATGGTGACTTTCAATATGCTTCAGAGGATGCTTCGATACAGAAGCTTGATGATTTATCTTATCTTGATGCATCCGCTCTTCATGAAGCCGGTATAAGCAATTTAGAGCGTATTATTGTTCTAAATTTTGATATTCGATTCGCGGGATTTGTGGTTCAAAAAGAGAAAGAGTCTACAAGTATCTGTCCCTTCAACAAAACGTCCAGCAAATTGATCCGTGCGATTAAGTCTTTATCTCTCATGAAGAAATTTAAGGTATATATTAGACCCAGCGATTATGCGCGGCAACATTTGAAAGAAATTCGCGAGTGCTTGCATGATACAAGTGTAGAGGTTTGTGAATCTGACTTGGGGAAGCTATACTTCAAAAAAGGCATTACACTAGTGAACTGGACGCATTTTAAACATAAGGAGCATAAGGAACCTCAGGATCAACCACCGCCACTATACACCGCCAACGATACACAGAGGGCGACGGAAGTGCAGGTTCCCCGTTCACCATTGATCGTATACATAGATAAGAAGTCATCACCCAGCATAGACGAAGCCATTATTCCAGTGACACCGAGTCCTGTGCCGGTGTGCCACGGTATCTTCTCGTCTAGCCCTGAAGAACTGTCAGATATCGGAGAAGGCTCGTACCTTGATGATGATTACAAGGATCTAGGACGTGTTGAAACATACCTTTAGGTGGAGGTGAACTCGGATGAGGAGTACCTCGCCGAGTTCAATGCTAGACAACTGGATGAAGCATACCTCACCGATATTCGAGAAACAAGCCGACGACTCAGACAAGACGCTACCTCGGAGGCTTTGGCGTCAGAATTTAGGGAGTGGTTGGATGCAGCAGCAAAACTAAACCCAAATGTTCTAGAACATAGAGGACTGACTTCCAAATTACTTACTCTTGGTGAAAGTGTCCGTGAGTCTGATGTTGCAAAGTTCGACGCTGTTAGACCCTGGTGCTCTGCGCTGTTGTTCTACAACCCGACAGATTCAAGCAGCACCTCCGAGTTGCAAGATTCGACCCATCGATTGCTCGTCTCAGATATGGCTGGGCTCATCAAGTCAATCAACACATTTCAACGTGGTGCTGAGATGGCTTTTCTGATGGAAGATTTCATAAAACTAGGTGGTGCTGCTCGCGCAGGTAATAAGGAGCAGTATACACGTTGTAAAGTTGAATGTCAATTTCGGATATTGGTCGACGAGAAGAGCAGCAAGGGCTTGTCCAGCAAAAGAAACACTTCGGAAATTGATAGCAATGTGTATAAACGAACCAGAACAGCGGCGTAAAAATTAAATGAATGTTCATCTATCTTCAAAACCGCCTTCTTGCTAGTCGGCGAAGGTGTAAATGAACCACCAATGAGACTTTCGGGGGGACGTCACATAAAGACACCGCTGACTTTTCATGATCCAGCAGTTGCAAATGCTGTTGTGCTTCGAGTCATTCAGGATGATACGGTAAATAATAACAATAAGATGGAAGTTCACAATCTGATCTCCACTCCATTACCATTTATGCCTGAGGCACCGAGAAGCAAGTGACCTAGCTTAGTTGCCTTAGACATCAGTATCGCTCAGGTGTCGTGCTGCCGCAAGTATTCGTATGAGACCTTCCGTCATTTGACGATTCTCTAATCCGCAATAGTGACCCTACCCCTCCGGCCAGTCAGAGCACCCTTCTATTATAATTTCCCATCCCTCAGGTGCAACTGAAAAGGTTCGTAATTTGTGCAAAGAAGACCTAGGTTAGACTGGCTTTCCTGCTGCATTAAGCACTCAGTCTTGCTTCCAAGCTGAGTACTAGCTGCTGTCGTCCTGCTTGCCACAGGAGGTAGGGTGGCGCACTGCGTTTTTCGCTCTTCGCTCGTTCGTTCGTGGTAACCGTCGGCTACTGACGGTACTGATGTGTACGATGAAGACAGCGGATGTTAGAACTCTGTTGCGCAAGGGGAGTGAAAGCACTGCCAATAGCCCATCTTTTGCACACGATAAGTTCTCGAGTACGAAATAGCCGGTAGCTACTTGAGCGGTCTCTACTATTGTCGTCATAAGTACTTTTTGTCTCGTCTTAATGGCAACACAAACTCACTTACTATGAAGAGTGCTCAAACAGTGGTCAGAAGCACATTCTTCACAATTTCCAGAAGATATACAATTGATCTTTTGCTATGTATAGTTGCAATTCAGACAATGGCACACTGCAGTATTCGTTTAAATCTTGTTAATTATGATATTGACTACTTAGATCGATCTTTCTCGTCTTCTGGTTCTATTGAATACACCGACCATATATCTTACACATATACAATCGTCTCATGAACCATCTCCCGGTTTAATACAATCTCGCTTGGATCATCACTGCTTTATGGCGTAAGTTCTTCTATATACATCATTTACACTCTCCAGGTAGTATGTTCCAGGTGCTAGGGAGTTCACATCGCCAAGAGGCTTGAAATCCTTCGCTCCGTATGCATTCTTCCGGAGAGTACAAGCCTTGTGTCGAGTTAGTATGTTATCCAAATGGACTGAAAGCTAAAGACTCACCTCTTCGTACTCTTCAGGTGTCGCGATGTGTCTCTGCTTAAGACGGTCCATCAAATTGACTTTTTGTACCAGGTCGGTAAGATCGCCGGTAATTTTCATGCCAAAAAGTGAGCTGGCAATGCCGCTTCCGAACTAGATGGTGGATTCGGGTCAGTCAAAAATCATGGGTGGCTAGAATAAAGGTGAATCGATTCACTTACACTGAACAAACCGATGGTCTTGCCTTCTGCCGCTTTGAGATCGATGTTGCTTATCAAGCTAATGAGAGAGAAGTACAAGCTTCCTGTGTACATATTGCCGCATAAAGAAGGGCCAGCGATACACGGCTTGACACGCTTCTTGAACTCATTCTTCGTGATTGACACAAGAGTCTTCTCCAGCGCCTTATCCTTGAGAGACTCCGAACGGCTCAACTTGCGAAGTTCGTCGGGAATTCCTTCCCATTCGGCATCATCGGTCGATATGAGACAGTCATTGTACTTAAGACGGCCGAACGATTTAGACACTAATTTGCAGTTTGGAGTATGGAATGCCATGTAATCGAAAAGTTCAAGAACCTTCTTTGGCACGCTGCTGGGCTCATCACCATTGAGTTTTCTTCTAGCCTCGATTCGCTCAAATAGATTCTTGTGGCATGCATCCAAAGCGCCAATGTAACAGCCAATAGATTCATGGCCGTTCACAATAGGAAACTCGACTTTAGTATCCGGCTTGTAGAAATCATAAGCATGAGTCATGTAGACACCCTTTAAGCCCGGATCGAGGGACAGCAGTGCATTTGGACCAACAAGCATAGCAACACAGCCAGCCCCTCCAGTTGGTCGAGAAGCGGCCTCTTTGTAGAGGGCTATATCGGATGCAACAACAATGGCATCTCGACCGTCCCATGAACGAGACTCTACCCAATTGACCGCATTGAATAGGGCATTCGTGCCACCGTAACAGGCGTGTATCGTGTCGATTCCTTCGAGACTTGTATTGCCATGTGGCTCGAATAAAGTGGTGAGAACTGATTTGATAGATTTGGCTTTGTCGATGGGTGATTCAGTTCCGACTTCAAGACGCCCAATAGAATTTGGGTCGATGTCGAAATTTCGGAGGAGTGAAGAGACAGCTGTTAGAGCTAGGGAACAAACATCTAGCAATTTGTGAGTATTACATGATGCTTGAATTGGCTGATGATTTTCAATGGTACCAACTTACCCTCTCTATCGGTACAAAAGTTCATATACTGAAGGCCCAATCCAATGGTATATTTACCAGCCGAAACACCTTGATGTTTTTCAAACAATGTTTGATCCAGACACTTTTCTAATCAGCATCATGAAGTGACTTTCGTGGGAGTGCTTGGCAATTTACCTGTGCTGGGACATAGATTTCCATGGCTTTAATGCCAACGTTCTTGGGGTATGCCATTTTGTGACTTTTTCGGCTAAAGAGATGTTTGTTTAAGGTAGATTGGAACTATAAGAGAGATGGGAGTGTGTGTATGTGAAATTTAAGACTTGAGTGGCCTGTATTAGTAGTCGCCGCTCTCACATACACTTCTTTCATTGAAGAGAGTTCTGAAGTCGGCTAAGCTTGAAAGAGTTAGGCGGTACATGAGGAGGCTTAGCGGTCTTTAGCGCTGACAACGACCTCGTGGAGATACCCTGTCGATGCAATATATCTTTTCGGGTTTGGATCCGTTTTCACTTGCAATACGGTGATGGGTGGTTGAGATATGCTACTGTTACCAAAAGGGCGGAAGTAGTATTCCAATGTCTGCTTCACACGAGATTATAGATGAATGAATATAGAAAGTCGGATATGTGACGATAGATTGTGATTCCTCTTCTGATTCATCAATGTACCAAGAGGACCATTTGAATTCTCCAAATCCAGTCCAACCAAAGATCTCTCTCCCATATTGCCAGAGAATATCATATGCAAATTTGAATTTACTTCTACCTGCTGGTAAACTTCTTTTTGCACTGCCATTTGCACGATATACTGGAACCAAATCGTACCCTGGATGAGATTAACATCTGTATCTTAGCACATTGCAATATCTAGGGACCGTTTCAGGGACCCGGCTGACTAATTATCTCCCGAGAGTACCAAACATCCGGATGAGCGGGTCGGATTATGTTTTCTTTCGCATACCAGAAGGATTTTGCCGGGCATGAACTTCTCCAAATTCAACTGTTCTTTAGCCATTGGACAATCCCTGGTTCGCTGAATCGTCTCATAAGTATTGTGGAATAAACTCGTATGACGTCGCGATATAGTTACTCAAGGGTCAGATAATCCCTGATCTGCTGAAAGATGAAACTAAAGTGGGGTCTTTATCCGAACCTCAGCCCCATAAAATAAAAGGGGAAGCTACCCCAGCAATCTTCCCTCACTCAAAGAGGAAATCATGGAACTGTGAACCAGTTGATAAGGATATATTTTGTATATTTCCAATCATTTCAAGACTTTTTGAATAATTTGATTGACCACGGTCATTATGGACTCGGTTAGACTAAACACGAATTCAAATTCTGATGCTGTCTTTATCATCAAGATGATGAAGTTACAAAAATAGCTCAGTCAAAGAACCTATTACAAGACTGCAGTTGTACGAAATAATATTTACTTATCAAAGCTGTGTTTAGCAGCCAAAGTTATTACGGCTTGTCACACATCCTCCAAGTTAATCCATAAAATAATTGCACACAGGTGAATAGTTTACCAAACATGCTCAAAATACAGGCATGGTAAGACTCGAACACATATCTTCCGTGGTCACGATAAAGTTCTCTGATAATCGATCTTTGTCGTCATCAGTAAGGAGCCCTCTCTATGTCCCAGCTACACAAGACAAGTAAAATGGCTTCAAAAAACTTCCTCGAACTTCAAATGCTTGGGAAGTGAGTCATGCTCAAGGCGATTATCTTGTTCTCGAACTATACGTCTGTGATCCGTCTATATGTTCTTGCTCAGCTTTGGTGATACTGGAGTTGGTTTGGTCCAATGTACTAACAGTGGAGGCTAGGTGCAAGATCCTTAGGGTTAGGAAGAAATGTTGTGAAATTTGGAAAGGAAGTATCTCAAGGAACACATGTGAAGCTTATTTATTGGCAGACTCCTTTGAAAAGTGTTCGATTTGATTGCATCTCTTATTCTAGTGACGTGAAATGACAACATTGACACTCAAGAGTATGGAGATACGATGAGACTAAGCGAAAAGAAGATGAACCAGAGCCGAGAAAGCATAGTTGAATGATGTATGTTGTGTAGAATACAATTGTACCGCAGCTAATTTCCGTTAAGCCTAGAAGGCTTGATTTACAAGGTGCTATGGAATTTCGCACGATGTATCTCTCAACGATGCATGTATGTGTTTTTGCGTCTTTGAACCATAAGGATATATTCTAGATAACCTAACATCCTTCAGAACTATCGATTTTCGGACAGATGAGACAATAACTCTTATCTTGAGAGTGCTGTTGAAGTCGGAAATGACTAGACTATCAATGCTTGCACGCAATATATCTGCGATGAGTTGACGTTCAGTCTTGTTTTCACATCGCACTTCGCGTGCAGCATGCGTTTTACATAAACCGTACTTTCTACCTTTTTTGTTGTTGTTTGATTTCAATATTCTACGTACCTCATATTACATGACCAGGCGAGCCCGCCATGCGATCGAAAAAAATCCCCCGTGATCTGTGAAATGAAAGAAACAGACAGACATTTCTGATTGACAAAAACCCATCCAAACATACAAGCATACCAAATAAAATCTATTTATATAGAGACCATTAAGCAGGAAAATGGCAAAAAATGGAGATGGATAGAATCGAACTATCGTCACCTGTGCTCACGGCATGGTCAGGACCCGCGCTTCCCGAGAGACTGCGCTGGCTCATCCGACCCAAAATATGTGACAGATATCTTAACCACTAGACCACATCCCCTTTAACTTTGATATCCTTCTTTGGCTTGTGTCATCCTAAATAACTTGGTGGCTGATATCCAGAACAAAGGGAAGGAGGAAAGATCGAAGCACTCCATGGATCTATTGACTTGCTTGAAAGGCAAACAAAACCAGTAGCAACGCAATCCGCACTCTCACCCCTTCCTACACCTTATACCCCTGACCCCCTTATTTATATCCTTTATTTTACTTTCCATCTTCGAATTTTCCTCGAAATTCACTATCAGGAGAAGAAAAAAAGATAGAGATGAATAGATTCGAACTACCGTTAAATAATCTCACGGCCAATCTTAGAGGATCGTCCCGAGTCGCTGTTTGCGCCTTCGGCCTCTCTACCTAAAGATTTAACTTTGAGTCAGATGTCTTATCCACTAGACCACATCTCCTGTCTGAATCTATGTAGTGTGTCAAACATTGATATAGTGTATATACTGTACAAATGACAGCTTCTAGGATTCTCCCACGCCACTAGTAGAAGATTCCACTTTGGAAGACCATGATTTTACAAGACCATTGGGTAAGATTAAGCGACTTTGACTTAAATACCTAGGTTTGTGTTGTCAAGAGGCTCACGATTTCAAAGATATCACGAGGTTGAAAAAGAGCTGTTGTGGTTTGCTTAGTTATATCAAAAGTACATGGAAGGTTAAAGACGAAATCTAATTCTGTTCTTCAAAAATAAAAAGTTCAACTTTAACAGAAAATTGCAAGTTCTCCAAGAAACATTTTTCGTTAGAACAAGATGATAGAGGAACCGCAGCTCCCCGACCAAAGTATGATTTTCTCGCTTCTTAAGGGTGGATCAAGTCTCGCCATTTCAAAACCTCCCTCCCCTTTCTCAACCCGACTGTCAAGAACAATAGTTGCGAAATATAGAATGTTGAAAACTCACCAAAGACTACCTACCTACTTCAGAACTAATTAGTCGATCTAGATTTTGTATATAATAGAACAAATGGAACCAAATACCGAACTAATTCCCCAATCGGGGTAAACACTATGAAGAATGAGGCAGCATTTTTCGCGTTTCGCGAATGCCTAAATTTCATTTCCTGCTGTATCGTGGGTGTTTGCAACTTTTTCAATTTCTTTGTAATGCTCATTCATGTGACGACTGCTGCAGCAGCAGCAGGCACTACGATATTGAGCATTTTCATCATGATAGAATACTCTTGAGATCAAGTAATTCCAGAGAATAGATTTGCATAGCTAGCCTGCAGGTATTGTGGAATTTTGGAAGATCCACCACTTGGCATTGATGTACATTGTACAGCCTTCGCAATTGATTGAGTAGTCATAACAGACTCGTGTAGTCTTTATCAGACAATGTATATGAACTTATACTGTTATACCAAGAAAGTATTGTGTATTGATAATTCGAAGATATTCCTGTGCCTACAAATAATCCTCCCTATTGATCTGTGAGTATACATACATGTCAGAAAAGGGCGAAGGATCTTGAGTTATAAGTGGTCCCGTGAGTTTCTTTCTCTTCAGTGAATATCTAGCGAAAGTCTCATATTGGTTGTGATATTTACCAAATATAGCAAGTGCTTCTTCATGTTCGACGGGTGAGGTGGAGATAGTCCACCCAAGATTCTCCATGAAATCCGTCTCCAGGACTCGTTTATATGTCAATCCTTTCCAGATTACCTCCACTGAACGCTTCATAGAGCGGGTTGAATAAAGCTCTAGAAACTTTTCTATCAAGTTTGGCAGCTCCATGCTGTACCAGCCGTCTTCCGGGAATAGCTCATCGGGATCAACAGGATCGGTCCCTCCACCAGGGTAAAATCTGCCAGTTTGCATGACAATAGTAATTTTCTTGTTAGAGACCCGCTTTCCTAACAATACAAAAACTTCCTCTAAAATCGGGTTGATATTGTCGACGCAGCCATATTTGAAACCATCTATGGAGGTGGCAAAGTATAGATGCCTAAGGTATATTTCCTCATTTGAAAACTTCAAAGGATGGTGGATACGCTCTCCACAGTGATTTTGCCACACTTGATCGGGTCGCTTTCCACACACGTCCAGAATTGCAAGAGAATTTCGATTGTCCGTGCCGATGGTTTTCAGCCAATGAACAACAGGATCCCAGTTATGATCTCCCTCGAAAGCAAATGTGTTCTTGTTGTAGAAGACTATGGCGGCTTCATGGCTCACCACCTTACTACAAAACAAGAGTTTGATATTGAGAGTGGAAAGACTAACGGATGTCTCCTTGTGGCTAACGGCTCGCCATATTAAACGTGAGGTAGGCTCGCCCGACCAAATTCGTCGTCTCCCCTTATATATGGGCAACAACTCGTGTTTCAACTTGCCTTTCCAGACAATGATATTTGATGTTGATACCAAGGTATAATGATAAACACTATCACGGATCTCTCTTGGAAGAGAGAAGAATGTGAGAGGGAGAACATTACGAGGTGGACGAGGGTAATAAAACCCTGGAGAAAGATATCGAACTGATTCATTGCAGGTATCTTGCTCCATGATATTGCAGTTGCATCATAAAACTCGCAGATAGGTAGCTTGAAATGTAGTTCAGCTGAGAAGCTACTCGTATGTTGGCACAGAGATAATGATAGATACTGACTAATCACGTGACCATGTAGTAGATAGTGGGTTTGAATGCACGGTCCATCTAACTGTCACCCTTGAGGCTTGAACCCCTTGTACCCCTGAAAATCGATCCAAAGAACAGTCCACAAAGCTTCGAAAAGGATACGAATCTAATCTGGTAGCGAAACGTAGACTCGAATGATCGGGGAATATTATTTATCCAAGTTCTCAACCTCAAAACACCTTTTATCTACAACACCACGCCACCATATAGCCATATTACCAAAACAAAGTTGTTAACAGTGGCATAACAACACGTTCTTTCATCATGCCGCCAGTAGCTACTTCTACTATTACAACCTCGGGTTCAACCACCCCCCGATTAAGAACCAATGGAGCAGAAGGTGTCTCAGAAAAGAATGAAGATGCCCCTCCACGACAAGATATCGATGTGAAAGAACATGATTTCTTTTGGACATATACCGAGGAACCTCATCGAAGCAGACGTTTAGCCATTATCAAAGCTCATCCAGAGGTAATTATCCATCTCAATTCCCTATTATTATCTCTCAATCAGGAATAGCTGCTAATCCCCTCCTTTAAGGTAACTAAACTCTGTGGACCTGAACCCCTCACCAAATATGTCGTTCTCCTCGTCGTATCAATCCAAATCCTCTGCGCCTACCTCCTCCGCAATACCCCTTTCCTCTCCTGGAAATTCTTCCTCACTGCCTACATTATTGGCGCAACCGCAAATCAAAACCTGTTCCTTGCCATCCACGAAATATCTCACAATTTGGCATTTAAAAACCCAAACTTGAATCGGGCCCTGGCAATTTTTGCAAATTTACCGATTGGAATTCCTTATTCTGCTTCTTTCAGAGTACGTTTACATCTATAGAATTCCTCCAGTTTCCCAAAAACTAACAAATCCCCAGCCATACCATCTTACCCACCACAAATCCCTTGGCGTCGATGGTCTAGACACCGATCTCCCCACTCGTTTTGAAGCCCTCTTCCTCGATTCCCTCCTCGGAAAAGCCTTCTTCTGCACTTTCCAAATCCTATTCTACGCCATCCGTCCCATCTTCGTCTACGCCGTCCCCTTCACCTCCATCCACATCTTCAACATCTTCGTGCAAGTCGTCTTCGACATCCTCCTCGTAAAATCAACCAATTCCTACAACTCCCTCTACTACCTTATCCTCTCCGCCTTTTTGGCAGGTTCCCTTCACCCCTGCGCCGGACATTTCATCGCCGAGCACTACGTTTTCGAGCGTCAGCCCCTCGCAGCCCGCGACCCAAAAACTGGTGTCGAAATCCCAGAGACGTTTTCTTATTACGGTCCTCTCAATTTCTTCACCTACAATGTTGGACTGCATAATGAACATCATGATTTCCCCGCTGTGCCCTGGACACGTTTACCCGCGCTCCATGAGATAGCCAAGGAATTCTATGCAGAGTTGCCCAGACATGAGAGTTGGATTTATGTGATATGGCAGTTTGTATGGGATAAGGAGGTTGGAATGACTTGTAGAGTTAAGAGAAGGGAAGGAGGAAGAAAAGTCGGAGGCTGGACGCAACAGGAGATTCAGGCTTAGATTTTGACTTTTTGTTTTCTTTTAGATGTGAGATGAGATGAGATTCGAATTTTAGAGGATCCCTTGTACGAGTGGAAGTAGGGACGTCATCCTTGATTTGAATTTGTATATACGATTAAAAGATGAGATGAGTTATAGAATGCATTTTTCAACGAACACATATACACATTTGTTCAAGAACTATACATGATACACATGATATCGATTGTCACTTCTGCAACTGTCTTTTACAATTTAATTGAGATTTTGTACCTTTCCTCACCAACTACCTACTATGTATCAAACGTAATTCGCTATCATTCCAGCACTTCATTGCCTACTCGCTCTCTCTCGCTACATACACCCGATACTATATTACCGATTTAATTCATTCCAGCATATACCAGGCCAGTCCAGCCAGATCCAGGACTTCTGGCCTCTCACCCATCTCTCTTTCCCTCTCCCGTATTTTTCGGGCGAACACATACGTAGAAGCCCCCTTACAACACAACAAAAGAAAGAAAACGTAAAGAAAAAGTAACTTTGTCAAAAGGCTGAACTCGTCTGAAAAAAAGCAATAGAATACAGGTGGTACATTCGTAATGCAAAAGCTGTGGCGAGAGGAAATCGAAAAAGAAAGAAAGGAAAAAAAAAATCAACAGCAAGGAAATGTAAATTATTGGAGGAATCGTCGTAAAATTAGAGGGCTCTTCTCTTGTACTTATTTCAAAAAAGTACAAGGAGAAGAACGAGGTCTAGAACCCAAGAAACCAGTACCTAAGAGTAACTGCACCCGAGAGCACCAGAGACACCCAATATTGATTATTTTGCTTTGTGTCTTTTCCTCTTATACAATAATGGAAGAGAGAGGTGCAACGCTATAACCCATCAAAGCCGGAAACCACAACCCAAAAGTCAGAATGCGAGCAGACAGGCACACCCAGCTTTAGATTAAAAGAACAGGTATGCGAGTAAGAAGCTAAGCAAACATAGAGCTGCGACGATTTGTACAGGCACTCCTTCTACACCTTGCAACTTAGTAGCCATTTCATTGACCGTCTCATTTGACGTTTCCCCATTTGCCACTTTTCTCATTCTCATACCACCTTGTTCGGCGTAAGATGCGATAGTTTTCTTCGCTTCGGCAAGTTGGGCTTGGAGTTCTTCGACGGAGGTAGGCATTCCGGTTGGAGCGGTGACTGCGGATGCATTACTTTCTCTGCTGGTACTAGCTGCGGGGTTGAAAGCAGAAGAGCGAGCGTCGCCGAGGTTGCGATTGCCGATTGGCTCGTCGTTGATACTGACAGAGGGGGCTGGGCCTGAGTTTCCTGGTACGACACGGTTTGCTGCAGGGGTGAAATGCTCTTCGGGAGATACTGATCGATAGGCTGGAGGGGCAGTGTCTGGGGTTGAAAGCTAGAGATGTTAATGTTAGTCAATTCCGCTTCCTCGGGGATGGTACACAAGGAATCAGAACATACCGCACTATTTGCTCCATTAACACCATTTCTCATAGGTGTAATGGCTGCTGCTCCTGTCGACTTTGGTGGGAGGAAAACGACACGAATCTTCTTCTCTTGGATATCCTTCTTATCTGCTCGGTCGACATGCTGTATGAAATACAGTTAGCGTACGTCCATGTGAGGAAATGTCCCTATGGATTATATATCGTGGGGGTACTGTACGTTTGAGGGCGAATCGACAAACTCCTTATCTGGTGTGATTTCGACCGACTGAACTAAGAATTTATCTCTGCACTTTGCATCGAGAGGTGGCTCATCCTTCATTGCCTGTAAAAGAACTATGCCAGCAAGATTAGCCCTAGCCACGTACTGTTTGCCATCCTAATCGGCGCATACCAGTGACATCTATGCTTCTTCCCGGTTCCAATTTACCAGAGTTTGGTCGCACGCAGTATCTATTCGCAAGTATTAGAACGCTATTTCGAAGGTGTGAGGTGTAGTAGAACCAACTGTTTGGGCGCAGTGGTCTTGACCTGTTGAAGAATAAACCACATTAGCACTTGTAGAACGGCCAACGACACGGCAGCAGATTTCCCTACCTTGAAACCAACGGGAGTACGATTAGGATTTCTAATTCTCAATGTTTGCGACACCTCCGTGGTAAAAGGACCTGCCACATGTTAGAATTTCCCATCTCGTGTCTTTCCCTCTCTCGGAGAAGAATAATTTATGATAGCGTACGGTGAAAGCCAAGCTCTTGCGAATCTATTTCGACGGACATGATGGGCGTATTACTAATGTTGGTTCAAAGTATTCAAAGTGTTTGTGAGGTTGTGGGATTGTGGGATTAAGCCAGAATAATATTTGTAAGTTGAGGAATTATTTATTAGGATGGGGTGTGTTTCGCTCGAGGTGGTTGATATGTAATGACGAGGGTCCGAGAGTGACAAAGAAGGTGATGGGTGGTCGTTTGTTATTCCCTGTTGGATTATTACGGCCAATACATATGATGATACATATGATGATGGATGTGGTAGATGGGTAGAAGAGTAGAGAGAGTCTCGTATGTATGTCAAGTCTGTATGTATACCTATGTATTTGTAACTTTTAAGAAATAAATGATAAATTGTTAAGAAAGGGGTGAATTATCATTATCCTCTTATTATTATTGGATTATTAGTTTGATTACCTCCAGCTACCTACCTGTGATCATACTCGATTGGCATTTATACCTGGCTTTTACGAATAATGAAAAAAATCATGTCTTAATTTGATTTCAATTATTGTCATGAATTTTGGCATTCCTGTCGATCAAACCTTCAATGTCTTCAATCAACAATAAATACCTAGTTCAAGTTGGCTGGTGGGCAAATGAATGATCACAAGTGCCTACTGTGTTGTGTGTATAATGAATGTATAGGCTCGAGTGTGAGTAAACACAAAGTATACTTGACTGGAGATGGACATCTGGACTATTCGGCGATAAGTCGAGTAGTGGATTATTATATACACCTAGCTGCCCAGAGAAGTGTGTATGTGCGTGTGCGTGTGTGTGCGTGTGCGTGTGCGTGTGCGCGTGTGTGTGTGTGTGTGTGTCTCTGTGTGTACATACGGTAGGTGGAAATCTAACGTCATTAACAGATTCATATCTAATCAATCAATTTTATCCTTTATACCTACCAGTAGTAAGTAGTCCTTGTGCCATTTGATCGTTCTATCACATTCCGAGTGTGGAGGTGTATAGATCTAAGTCTACCCGAGTATCTATTGCCTTCACTTCAATCTAGAACATTCAACTAATCCATTCCATACCTTATTTCTACCTGGCTTCGAAGCTTTTTCATCACCACGGATCATCATATATAAAAATAAATACGGCAATTCATTAGATATCGAATCCATTCACCCCATATTTACCTAGTGCTTTCTAGTACGGCCCACCCATCATTATATTATTCCGCACAACCCTGAGCTCTTGCATCTCGTCATAATAATACTCGACATAATATTTCCGACGCTTTTACAAAGACACAACTTTCATACAATTTAACTTACAATAAAACAACATACCAAGCACACAGAAAAGATGTCTACACCAAGTGATCTTCAACAACTTCTCGACATGGGTTTCGACAAGGAAAAGGCCGAGATTGCAGTCAAGAAGACGGGCGGATGTATGTATAAATTCCAACTTGCATATCCCCTGTATGCAATCTATGTAACCCCGCATACTGACTATTTGCTACAGTGAACGGAGCTTTACAATGGCTCGAAGATAATCAAGACAAGAGCATCGAGGAAATCCGAACTGCAGAAGCTGCTGCAGCACCAGATTCCGACGAGACAAACCCCAACATCGAGCCAGCGCCACTCAAGGATGGGGAAGAGGCAAAGTCGATGGTCTGCACCGATTGTGGCAAGAAGTTCCGCTCCATGATGCAGGTCCAGTTCCATGCCGAGAAGACGTAAGAGTTCCCTGCCACACCTTGTCATTCGAGGATTCACTAATACGATTACATAGTCAACATGAGAACTTCGAGCAATCGACCGAAGAGATCGCCCCCCTCACCGAAGAGGAGAAGCAACAGAAGCTCGCAGAGCTCCGCGAGAAGGCGAAGGAAAAGAGGGCGAAGCAGGCTATTGTTGACAGAGAGGAAGCCAAGCGCAATGAGGTTCGTTGCTTACTATTCCTAGATTCATCTCGACTCCGCAATTGCCCCTCCACACCCATCTACCCCGCATCACACTAACATGTTATTCTCCACAGCAAATCCGAATGAAGTCCACAAAGGAAGTCTCGGACGCCAAAGAGAAGCTGGCGAAGGACCAACAGATCAAGGAGGCGCAGGCTAAACGTGCCGAGAAAGCCGCTGATGTCCAGGCCAAGAAACGCATCCAAGAGAAGATCGCCGCCGATAAGGAGGAACGTCGCTTGAAGGCCGAAGCTGCTAAAGCTCTCCGCGAAGGTCGTGCTCCTCCAGCACCTGCAGCAGCTCCAGTAGCCGCCCCTGCGGCTTCATCCGGCGCTCCAAAAGTCCACACAGAATCTCGATTGAGATTACAAACTTCCACCGGGGTCATGACTAAGACTTACCCAGTCGACACCACCCTCTTTGAGATCTCCCAGCAACTCGAGGCCGAGCTCGGTTCGGTGACTAGTTTCACCATGACTTATCCCAAGAAGACCTTTGAAGGTCCTGTCGATTTCGGGAAGACTTTGAAGGAGGCCGGTTTAATCCCTTCTGCTGTCTTGATCGTCAAATAAAGGTCAGACTGGAGGGGGGGCATTGGGGAGAGGCTGGTGGCGTTCATGGAACGAAAATATGCATGGTCGGTGTTTGGGCGTAATGGCGTGTATCGATTACATGTAGATTTTGCCAAAGAGACTATTCTTCCTTTGGAGCATCTTTTATACGTAGCACAACAGGCACCTTATAAGCCAAAAGCAAAGCGGAATTTGAATTTCACCGAGCATTTTCTATACTTAATTGCCTTGAATCTATGTGTAGTGATCTTGTGAATGATATTATGCACAACTACAAATATGAAATGCCTGGATCTCAACACATTTTTGAACTGCGGGGATGCAGGCAACCAAATCACAATCCCTCATTGCAGCTAGAGCTATATCAGTTTCTTGATCTCCACGCGTATCTACAACAAGTGGACATATAGAACAAAAATTTCATAATCAACAGTGCAAAAAAAGCACCTATAACATAATATGAATTCTGCGAATAAACATGCCCTATGATATCTTAAAGCACTTTTAACAGCGCAACCTAACGAATTCTTAACTTAGCCATGATCGGCTACCAACAAGCAATCAGCGCAGAATGTACTTGCTCAATGTACAAGACTACCCAGCGAACTCCAGATATAGACAAACCCCGTCATTATGAAAAGTGCCTTGCTTGGCATGTCCATTCCATCCATTTCCAGCCCATCCTTCGACCCGTCATAACGCCTCTGGTACCAATCAACTAATATTTTCATTATCACATCCTCAGCTCCATCACTATCCCTCGTGTACGTATTCCATCCTGCTACAGGTGTATTTGCTTCGAATTCTACATCCCATTCAACCTCTGCCTCTTCGCATCCCCGTTCACATGCTCATCCCCCGCCATTCCACTGCCATTCGTCTGTAAGTCCGTTAGCGGAGCTTTATTCGCTTCCGGCATCGGTCTCTTCATCATCGTAGGCGGTTTATAACTGTTTCTATTTCCCATGTTCATCGGACTCGGACTACCAGGGGCACCAATTCTTCTCGTGGTGTCTAATTGGGGATTTCCCAAGTTCGCATTCCTATTTCCAGCAATAACTGGACGAGGAGCTGGCTGGGCTTGTGGTGGGCCAGTAGTAGAAGCTTGAGCTTGAGCCTGAGACGCAGGAACAGGTTTCAAATCGCGGGAAAGTGGTTTGGAGGATTTTTGATCGACGCCTGGGGTACGACGAATAGATGGGGATTCGAGGTTGGGGTTGAAAGCAGGGAGGTTGAGGTTTGCAGGGGGGGCTTGGGAGGGAGTGTGTTCTTGAGGAAGGAGAGATGCAGCGCGAGCAGAGGTAAAGCCAGCTCCTGGTGGGGGCATTTCATCTGTTATATCATTATTGCGGGATGGAGATGGAGGACCGGATGCTGTTTGGGGTTGAGGCTGAGGTCTATTGGGTTGGTTTAAAACGCGGCCAGGGAATGCGATGACAAGATTCGCAGGACGGTTGGGTTGGATTAGATCTTGAGGGGCGCGAACAACAGGTCCTACTGTGCTGATCGATCTTGCGAGACCTGCATTGGGTGTTCGTGGTGCCGGTGGAGGATGATTGTTGCGAGTGATTATTGGGTCACCAGCTTCTGGTGGTCGATTTGGTTGAACTAACGGTCCACTCTTGATTATGGGAACTGGAGGCCCCGAGGGCCCAGAAGTTCGGCTTTGGTTTGGTAATCCTGCATTTCCCGAGGATGCACTGTTACCGTTTCTGGTATTGTTGAAATGGTGTGAAGCAGTCCGTGGGGGAGGAAGTGCAACTTCATCTGGGTGAGCGTTCGGATCTGCAACGTTAAAATCGGCATCGTCGAAGTCTGGGAATCATCAGCAACGATCTACTTCATGTAATTAGTGTCCTTCATACCTCCGAATTCATCGTCTCCTATCAATGTGTCATCGCCTAATTAAATCGTCAGTGTTGTATTTCGCCACCACATTTTAAAAACATACCTGATAAGTTTGTACTCGCAGGTCCAAGACCCTGAGCCTTTTCTGCGACCTTTGGTGCATCAATCTCTTCCTTGGCGACTACTTGTGGAGTAAACGTCGAATGTCTGTGTAGATTCTCGACGTCCCACTTGACAGGTTGGACCTTGATCTTCGTAACCTTGGCCAGATAATCCTTATCATACATGCAATTACCCAACACATTCCCAAAATTTCTCAGTGCCCTCTTCAATCCATCTGTCGTTCCCTCTTTCTTCGCCTTCTCAAAGGCCGCCGCCTTGCCCTTACAGTTCTCGATATGTCCATACCCCACATCTTCATGAAAAGTGCCATCCTTCAACGTAACTCTAACAATGACCGAGAGCCCTAAACTGACTTTTAAAGTCGTGGCATTTTCATCCACAAAGTCTACTTGTGTCTCGATGATCTGACTCGACCAACCATTGAATCCGAACACCTCGTTGGCAAGCTGAATACATTTCTCCGCTGTGATGTAATGTACCTTATGTCCCGACGGTCCTGCTCGCGATGATATATATTCGGGTCCTAGTTGTTTCTCTAGTCTACTTTGTAATGTAGCAATTTCTTGTGCTGTGTATTCTGATATGCGCGGTTTGACTTCTTCGAATGGATTCGCGATTGCTCGTCCACTGTGCTGTTCGCCTGGACTGGGGATTGTTAGTTGTTGCGTCGAGAAACTCAATCAAAGGTACTTACGCAGGCATTTTGATGATTAAAGCTCAGCAATATTTTAATTATCAGACTTCATACGGGCCGGAAAGTGAATTAACTATGGTGTTATGTCGCGACAAAATTGGTGGTGTATTGTATTGTTGATGATGGCGAGGGAGCTCAAAGTCGCGTCATACATCTTTAATACACGCTAAATCCACGGTATCACGTGCAGATAAGTGCACCGACTGGCAATTGGCTCTCACGGTTATATCAGATAATGAAAAGTCGGGATTTTAGAATGTTATGGAATTGTATGATCTCAAAATACTGGCCATTCTCCTTATGTTACTAAAGTTAAAATGACAAATGAATTACGCCTATTGAATTATTGCCACCATCGAAGTATCCTCCACAAATGTACAAATGAAAAAACCTATCCCTCAAGTACCAGAACTCCCCAACCATGCTTCCCGATGGATAATGAAAGGAAATTGGGAATCTTCGTAATCTTCGTGATTATTGCCGTTTGTCGATGACCATGATTAACACAAGACGCCTGTGTGGTGAAATTCCCTCTAATGCCCCCAAGACTCATCGATCAATTGATATGACCTCCTCTATCCCATATGTACGAACACTCCCAGTATCAAAATGACCCGAACCAAGAAAATATGATTTGAGTCTACCAGCGAGCTCCTACTGGTACACTCTGATTAGCACCATAGCGACCTGAAAGGAGTTGATTGCGGATAGAATCTGGATCTCCAGAGCTACCTCCCATCCAACCAAGGTTTGTACCGAGTGCATCGACTGCCATCTGCATCTTTCCTCCACTCTGATCATTATGCCTAGCAAGTCTTTGGTCCCATCCGCCAGAATGAAGCTGGAATCCTCCCCCACGCTTGGAGGCTTCACTAATCACCAAAGCCCAAGCCCTTGAAATTTCATCGTACGCATTGTCCTTGTGATGTTTATGAGACTGACTGTCCCAGTTAGGAAGATCGTGAACAATTTTGGTGGCACTATCGAGGAAGCTGAGAGACGTAGCGGTTTGTTGTTCGTTCGGTGGGAGGTAATGCGGTGTGAAATCGACCAAAGCATCAATGAGATTTGTGAGCTGTTGCTTAACTCGATCGTACGCATAATCGGATCCAGGACTGCCACCGTAAGGGAAAGCTTCCCGTAATTCGTTTTGGTATTTGTGAAGGACGCCGAGAGTGGATTCTACCGATGGTCTTGGCGCTGAAGTGACGATTTCCGAGCCGATCTCTGGGTGTCTTTCGCAGATAGTTTGGAGAACCGCTCTCAATGACTGAGCATCTAGGGTTTCGAGAAGACGAGGGAGGTTGAGAGGTCGGCCAGTGATTTCGTTAGCTCGAACTTTCTTGGAGGGTCGGGGGATTTGTCGTGTGGCCAGGGCGGGGCTATTTGTAGGAGAAATAGACATTTTGTCATCGAGTCCATCGTCATCGGCTTTTCGTTTTCGACTACCCATTCTGAGGTTTGTGTGCGGAGAGGCTGTAATTCGTTGTCAGTATTAAATGTGAGAATGGACGCAAAAGGGGGGGTTCCTTACCTGGAGTATGAATGGGGTTACGGTGAGGTGATGAAAAGAACGACGCTTGAGTTGGAAGCAAAACGTTCATCTTCGCCGTAGAAAAATAGTGATACAATTTTGCTTCCAGTATGAGTGGAACTCTAGTTACTGGCTTTTTCGAGAAGAATATTTGATGTATGAAAGACGAAAGTTGCTTTCTTGAAGATGTAAGAAAGTAATCGAGGTTCGTTGTTAATGGATTCGGGTAACCAAGACGACTACAAAAGAGGCGCTATAATAGCTCCGACGCTAACACAATTTACACAGCAGCAAAAATGAAGTGTTCCCGGTGTCAGCACAACATATAAAAAAATATTTCTGTATAAAAGAGTGTGATTATGGAATATTCCAAGGTTAAGGTAAGGTTAAGGTTTATATTACGTTTTTAGTATAATGTTATGTATCACATTATATTTACAAGATGTTTTTATAGAGATACTACGGGATACTAGGCACCTAGGTAGGTAAGCTCACAGAGAGCCGTACTAAGCTGATGACTAGTATCGATCCTAGCATCTACTAGAAGTTGAACTACCTACTCGGGTTCTTCTTCGTTCATCCATTCTATTCCAATTTCGATTATAAAAAGAAAAAGTCTTTCATAAAGACGCAGACGAGAGGGATACTCGAGAAGAACCTGGACGTTAGGCCTGTCAATCACACGTGCTGTGCAACCATTCGTCCCCACAAATGGGCTGCAAAAAGCTGCAAGCAAGCAAGCATTTTGGTCCGATATTAGTCCATCCTTTATTAGTGGTGCTTCTACCTGTTACCGTTCGTTTTATTGGTATACCTACCAGGGAGGGAGAACTTGTTGCACATGGTGGCTAGAGTATGTACCGGTATCTACAAGACGAAATCTTAATCTATTCTACTGGTAGAACTATCCGCATCCTTCGAGTTGCTACTAATTGGGATCATCACCTATTAGTTCACAAAGCAAGATCTACGGTACGGTATTTGCTAATTTGGATCGATGACCACTCCTCCTGAATCATTCAATTCCATATAAGTCTATGTAATAGATTCGTTAGCCACCACTACTAAGTAGAGTCAACAGCATCATGGGCTCGACGTCCTTTTGTGGCTGATGAAATACCTCATTTTGAGGGTGTCAACGTATGAGGACATGAGAAGATGTATCTACTCATCGATGAATTCAATTATTGGGGTTTTAGACGGGGCCACCGCTAGTTAAGTGATATATATTTGCCACCCTTTCGATTTACGGTTAGGCGGGAGAGGAGAGACCGAAAACATTCATCTGAGTGGGTCTCTTAGGACCTACCTACACTGTACTCTCTCGAGACTCTGTAGGTATATCTGAGATTCCCAAACATAAATCACTTCATTCGTCACTTCTACACCAACCAACCTGACAGCAATGAAAGCAACCGGCGGAAAATACGGTATGATGTGCACTCAGAAATACATGAGAAAACAAGACAAGAAACATCGAGTCCACGAGGTGCAGTCGTCGGCATTCTTTCCAAGAATACTGTCTGCAAAGTTTTGGAACATGCCACAGATATTGCTTTCTAGTCACGAACTGACTATCAAAACAGACATTTCCAGAATTTGGGAATGTTCAACGTAGAGTCTCAAGACTCAATACTCACGATCCTAACCAAAAAAGACAGTAATGAGACGTGCTTCTCCCTCGTTCATAAATCTCGCCTATAGCAACTCCATCTCTCCTTCACAAACCATCTTCTCTACCTTCTGAATCAAATCCTGAAATACGATCTCCTCGTAGCTAGGAGACCAGAAGTGTAACACCACGCTTACAACCAAAGGCGATTGTGACAGCAGCAGGTATTACAGCCGCCGTCATCCCCAAAGCTTCATTCAGACTCGGATGTCGAAAAAGTTGAAATATCACAACACAGTTGATCGAAAAAAGATCGCATGCTGTTGATAGAAGTGATGTGAGTTCGCTCGATACATTGACATAGAGCATATGCCGTACACGAGGACCATGGACACAAAAGTTGTGGAGGTTGGATGATCGATAATTGGGACCCCTGTGAGATTGCGCTAGTATAGCGTAGGAATTTAGCAGGCAAACAACGTAAGTAACGGAACGACACAAAACAGATTTATATTTTTACATGCAATATCGTCCCCTTCATCGTTGGTAATGAGCTCTGTACAATATGTCTCGACAATGCATACGACGAAACGATCAGTCCGGGTACTGCGCAAAGATTGATGCATATTCGATTCCTTCGATGATTGCTCTGCAATACTGGATTTCGGCAGGAACACACAATTTGCCGGTGGTCGATATTGCATTTTGCATGTGTCGACGTATCTTGCCAACGGGCTTCGTTGTCTGCAAACCAATGTTGCTTCATCGCAATAGCCCCATAGACAGAACTTTGCAAATTATCCTTCTCTCCTTCCTGGTCTCCGCAGAGTGCATTTCCCCAGACGTTGAACTCTCTCAGATCAGCAAAACTATCTCGGGAATTTTCCGAAGGATAATTGAAAGCCATCGGTCCCATCGAAAAGTTCCCATGTGAAAGATGGATAAGCTTTTTCAATTTCAAAGTATTCTGGGACCTCTTCGGTTGGTAGCAAGGCAGCTTTCCATGTGCATGTATAGGGGTTTTCAGTATGAGAGTATGGTGGGAGCTTTCCGGTTGAAAGCAAGGCAGTGTTTCCTATGAGGCTTGTACAGCTTCTTGTAACATGAAGGTATTGAAGGAACTCTTCGGTTGGTAAAAAGGCAGTGCTTCCCATGAGGGTAATGCAGTTTCTTTCAGCATCACCCTCAACAAGTGCAATGTGGATTCTGCCATATTGTTTTATTATTTGTCTTGTGTTGTCAAAGTTAGCCGCACCTCCTTTCACATAAAAAATGGGGTTGTGATCATGCAAGTGATGATATTCCTCTCTCATCGAAGGCCAACTATCACGACTTCGAATAGCCATAATGACATGGCGCAATTTCCGGTAGGAAGCAATGATGTCGATGTTGCTATGCTGGATAGCGAGCTGGTCAACTTTCGCAATGAGCTGGATAGTGCTCTCGACGATCTCAACGATCTTAACGAACTGGATAATGCTCCCAACGATCAGGAGAGCCTTCGTCCCAGACATCACGAAATCCGGGCTGACTATCTACGTTTGTCGATGGCAAATTGATAAGAGGCTCGACAAAATTGTGAATCGTTCTGAGTAGCAGTCTGCACAAACCAAATTAGTGTACACTCTTCACATTCTGTATATTCTCCCTATTGTCATTCTGCGGATGATACTTTGCATGGTGCCTTGGGAGTGTAATCGGTTTGAAGATTTGGATTGCAGCCCTGGTGACGAAGAGGAGCACGATGAGCTGTCACCTAGCCTCAAAGAGCGAAAAGAACGAGCATCAAGCAGAGCTCGTGGCATTCTTTCCAGAAAGATTTGGAGCCACAATCTATTATCGCTTCGAAACAAACCAACGAATGAATCCACGAAGCATCACGACAATGACGTTCACGATACTAAGCTAGAAACGCAGTCAGGTCGAGCAAGGAGTAAGGCACTATCGCCAAAAGTTCTTCTCTTGACACTTGTCAGCTTCCTGATTACATGGCTCGCCGCTCTTGGCCATAAGAAACGACTCTCTGAATATCTTTACATGGCAACTATTATAACCGTCGTATCTGGCAGGGCGATACCGCCCGAGAATAGCGAGACAAGGACATCGCCACCATTCTCTGGCGATTCAAACCCACTCCAAAGCCTGACAGACAAGTTCGAACTCTTAAAAAATTGGGGTATCGAAGCAGCTATTGCATTGGCTGTGATTGCTGCATGCGAAATTATCAAGATCTTTTGCAAGAAAGTGCAGCATCGACTTCTGAGTTTCACGTGTATGGTCACTTCAACATGTTCCTTCGCATATCTCCGCGATCGCGAAGATACAACGGTCGGGCTCCTTGCAGGGTATGTTGTCTACAGAGAGTTTCTCTTGAATACTGTATACCTGACTTATGTTTGTCACCAGTGTATCTTTCGCGGGGGCTGTCTTTACTTGGAACACATTTTCTCTGGGGGTCGGGAACACAATTTTGATACCCCGTATGTTCCTCCCGTCCTCATCGATGTTCATGGCTAATTGCTCTAAAGCTATATCGTCGTTGGTATGATTCTTGCGATGATGATTCTTTGGGGGGGATTTACGCTCATGCAGCCTTTGATCGGCTCTGTAAAGATTGACGTATTCATCTTACCATCGATCATATGCTCATTTGCGATACTAGAGATGATCGTGAAAGCTCAAGACAATATGATCCGCCGAATTAGACAGTAAAAATCTCATCGTTCCTCGCATCAGGGTTCGGATATCTGGCGACTAGCTCCCCACACTTCTGAGAAGGAAAAAGAAAGATTGCGTTCTCAAAAGTACGTCATAGGAACGAGGCGTGTCATGATACGCTACTTTCCTTTTTGACACATTATGGGCGTTGGTTCAGGGAGTTTTAGAGGGCTCAAGGGGTATTTGTTTGATCCGCTCGCCCCTTGTGCCTGAGCAGGAGCAAACACCAATGTACATAAAATCTAACCAAATATATAAGAAAAAATAAAGAATCAACAAGTTGTACCATCATCGCACTGCAAATATGCGCATAGTGACTTATGATTCTCCAAACCAAATTTAAGCATAATACCAACTACCAAAAACAACATAATGAAAAACCACGTCACTACTCCTCATCCCTCTCTCCCCTTCCCCAGCATTGAACAATCGCCTCCCACAGCTGCCGATATCCTCAACGAGAATCCGCGTCCAGGCCACCACCATAATAATTTGAAAGCTTCCCCACAACACCCAAACAACTACATCAAATCACTTCAGAGAATCCTCTCAAATCTCAAGTAGATGAGAAGATCTAATTCATGTATCCTCATTGGTTCTCCCTTCCCCCTTTTCCCTTCCCCCACTAAACTACCAATTCAAATCATCAATCAAATCTACACACCCAGAACATCAAGCCCCCGCATCGAAATTACACACAACTACCTAGACATACACAACTGTCAAACTTTTCTCCACCTTCTCCTCACACCCCCAAAAAGAAAATAGAGACATAGTATCCATCACCCCCTTCAAATTCCACCCCCATCTCAACCCAGTCCTCACTTCACTTCACTTCACTTTACTTCACCCAAACCCAACTTACAAATTCAATTTAATCCAGCCTATCATCCCTATCCCCATCCTCATCACAACTAAAACCATAACCACAAATCCCCTCCACACCAACCCAGTCCATACCTCTCTTACCCTATATACCCTATATATCCCTACTCCTTCCTTCACAGCCATCAACCCACAAACCCACTCTCCATTTCTTACCCCCATCTCCATCTCTATACGTTTTCAAATCACACGCCAAAACTTCACCCTAACAAGCATATCAAAACACCATAGATATTGCATTGCTTCCAGACCTCTGTACAGTAACAAATTCACAGTAAACGTGTATTTCATCCAATAGTCAGTCGCGAAGACTCAGTCTTACTAATGCGAGAGCCCTGAGGTATCTGAGAGGGAACCTCGCTAGCAAAATTTACTAACCCTTGATTATTCTACTTGTTCGCCTCTGTATCAATCAATTGTAGATCTGAATCTAATATTACATAGCCATCATTACAACTTCGATCTGTAGTTACCTAAGAACTAGGAGATTATAGGAAGGAGGATCTAAAAGGATACAGTTCACAAGGGGAGAAGATTTCATGATCAAGATGCAATATAGTGTTCCGCTGATGTGTCTGGTATTCGATGTATCTTTGAAAATGCTATAAAAGTTCCTTTGGTAATCTTTGCTGTGCCAGAAAGACTCCCTTATTCATTCTCCAAACTTCTCGTCAAAATTCATTTACAATTAATATATCGCTGCCTTACCACGTTTATCCTACATTCGCTTCGATGCCAAGCTCTTGTTGAGTCTGGCCTGAATGGCTTCTTGCTGCGGATTCTGACGATTGTGGACTGGGGACAAGACTCGTCTATTGACAGTACTCTCATTCTTCTTGGGGGAAGGTGTGAAAACTGATGCAGTAGCCTTCAGCACATCATCGCCATCTGTATCGGCAGGTCTTCCATTCAACATGTTGGATCTGGGAGGGAATGGGCGAGACGGTGTGATGGCTACGGCGCTCTGAGGAGAAGACAATCTGTTATCCTGCGGCGTGCTCGGTGTCAACTGACTGTAACTTGTCGTCGAAGTGGATTTTCCAGTACGAGATGAGCGTTTCAAAGCAGGAGCCTGGCTTGCCCATCTAGACGTTGATAATCCACTCGCACGCTTCTTTTGGAGAAGCTCCTCAACTGTGGGGCTAGTACTGCGCTCTGGAGCTGGTGAAACATCGGCCACTGTGCCATTATCCTTTTCAGCCTTAACGTCCAAATCACTAAAGACTTGGGCAAGTCTGTCGACGTCTGAGTTTGTAACTGCATGCTTACTTCTGTGAGTACCCTGTCCCACTACCTTAGGTACATTCATCTCATTTTCCATGACCTTGGCGAGAGTATTTGGATTAGTCTCTTGAGACTTAAACTTTTCGGTTTCGGAGGTGGAAGCAAGACCTTTAGGTTCATTCTTGAAAACCTCGGAGCTTTCAGCGTTAAAGGAAGTTTCTCGTGGCTTAGAGGATAGAGGTTCTTGTTTCTTAACAACTTGACGTGCAGTAGGGTTGTAACCAGATGAAGCACGAAGAACGGCTGCCTGATTAATGACATCTGATCTAGCGAACCTAGAAGTGCTTAGACCTCTGTTTGATGGAAGTTTGGGAGGACTATCGCCGCTTCCAGAGTCCATCTTGTCTTCTGGGTTGTTCTTATCGACCGCGAACAGACTCTTGGATGAGTTATGAGTAGCGGATCGAGAAGCGATGGAGTATTTTCCATTAGACTTATCAGAGTTATCCTGGTGATGGGCATCAACTAATGGCTTTTTGACATCATTTTCGGCAGAAATAGACAGAGTCAAATCACTTCCGACGCTTTCAATATTATCGCCTGCGGAGGAGAGGCTCTTGCTGACATTGATTGGTGTTTCATGCTTTACAACGGAAGATTCTGGAGGATTGGTGGCGCCTGATGATGCCACAAAGCCCGTCTTTCCTGGTGCATGCTCATCTTGTTGAAGAGTCTGTGAAACTTCTTCACTGTTAACTTTGCTGCTGAAATGAGTCTTCCATTCAGGAGGTTGGAGTTTTGTAGCAGTAACTCTGGGTGAGTTCTTGTATTGTAGCTTATGTCCATGGAGGTACTTTTCGACACAATTTCTTGCAGTAAGTACTTCACTGGTCAAGGTGGCATTTGGTCGCATCTTCATCATTTCCTCGATCGAATAAGCAAGTCGCTTAGATTTGGGAATAACATCCATGACGACTGCAGTAGGCTCGGAAGCTCGGATAGGGCTGATAGCCTCGGTGGACTTGGTAGCTTCCACAATTTGAAGAGGCTTCACAGGCTTGACAACGTCAACGATTTCAGAGACTTCAGTCAGTTCGACAGCCTCGACAGGACCAGACTTCTCAGTAGGGATGGCAGCCACCGAATGAGTACCATTATGAAAATTTTGAGCCATGTCGAGAATTTTCTGGGCGATCTGCTTAATGTAGGCGTCAATAAACTCCTGAGGGAAGCGTAACAATGTTTCAGATCTTGTCAAAAAGTCCGAAACAAGTTCTTCGGTAACTGATAAGATAGGCTTTGAGCTTGAATAACGAGAGGATGACAGTCCGCCAATGAAAACGTTTTTGGCATGTTTCATGAAATGCGCATCATTTTCAAGTCCTACGTTCTTGGCTAAGTGAAAAACGTGGTCATAAAAAGAACCGCCGTGATTCGCATTCAGAACCTGAAGTGTACCTTCAACAATATCTCCTTCCATTAAGCTCAAAAGATCCCGGAAGTGGGGATACTCTTCAACTTGATCATCCTCAGCTTTGCATTCATCCTCATGGAGTGGAACAAGAATCTCTTCGCTATCAATTTCAATAAGATCAGCAAATGTAGAACTGCTGATTCTGTTCGTGAGATAACTTCTTTCAGCATCGCTCATCTTTTTTTCTGCCGATGATGAAATGGGGGACAGAAGTACGAGTGGACCCTGGCTTTCTTGTTCTGAGGAGTGAGAAGAGCCACCGCTATGTCTTAGCTCTGAGAGTTTGAAACTATGATAATTAACAAAACTCTTTGCTGTACCAGGCAGCTGAAATTGTAACTTCCAGGTGGGTATCTTTTCTGTCGTAGAATTGGCCCGATATATGACAGTGCTCCCAGTGATCCCATCCTTCACCTCGACCTTGAATATCGCAGCCTCTGACAACAAATCGCTCAGGATGGTCTCGTGGTCAATTTGAACTTCGAGGGTCAAAGGAGATTTCTTATCGAGTTTGATGAGTCTTGCATTTCCGAATTTGAAAGTACTGTTGTTCTTGCAAACTTTGATAGGCTTCTCAATGATCACAGTGCGAACAATGACTGATGTGGGTTGGATCATTACATCATCTGTTATTAAAGTCAGGCGGGCGGCAACATTAGCATGTTGAACGGAAGGGGTCAACTCGGAAGCGTTTGTTGACATTGCTGGTGGTACCGATTGGACAGAATGGTTAGACTCCGATATGTTTGCGCCAACAATGGGTATGATCTGCTGAGCAGAACAAACCGACATTGAAGCGCTAGTCGTAATGGCAGGTACGACTTGCTGAACAGAGGGGATCGACGACGAGGCGCTTGCAGTATTGGCATGTGTAGCAGATTGACTGAGGTCATCTGATCCAGACATGTCGACAAGTGGAGCTGAAGGGGATGCCCACCGTGAAGCCGCAAGGCCACCTTGAGGCGCCAATGTAGAAGCTGATGGTGGTACCAAAAGATCATCATTGACTTTGTTTTGTGGTGCAGAAACAACAGGCTCGGAAGCTGTTGTAACTGGGCTAGAGCCGATATTATTGTGCGAAAGAAAGGTTGCAGGACTGGTGAGCTTGAACCTCGAATTTATAAGTCGATTTGCTAGAGGGGGAGCAGCACGAGCGACTACAGGAGACGCAGCTTGGTGAACTGGCTTTTTAGGTTTGAAAGTCGATTGAGGTGTCTTGAAAGAGCGGCCTTCAGTTCGATTCTTTCTGCTGGACTTAGCCTCGCGTTGCAAAAGAGCAATTCCAGCATCAACTTTAGCATGTGATTTACCACCACATCTTGCGTCGTTGTAGTAAGTTTGGCTAGTGACTTGTTAGTTCGAAACGAACAATTGATTGTGGCTTTATAATTTGCAGGAAATACATACCCAGCACCAGAGTTATTTCCGCGACCACCCACAGATGCATGACCACTTCTGTTTGAAGCTCCACCCCGACCGTGACCTGCAGGATTGCCACTTCTGCCATTGTTGGTTAGTCTAATGCCACCTCTGCGAAGTCGATATAATTGTCCACCGGCAATATCGTCAAGGTCTTCAAGGCCCGGATCGATGTCGTCGAGGTTGAGGTCTAAAAAGCCAAGTCAGCATGCAGACGGATCAAGGACAGGCTTTCTGGACATCGAACTTACTATGCCAAGCGGAAGCAGGGTGTTCTGGTCTAA